TATCCACTCGATCTCCGACGTGCGTGCCGTCAGCTAGCGGCAACCGCCCTGGCAGATCCAAACATGGCATTGGCAGCACCCGCCAACCCCCAACGTCGAAGTCGACTCCACAGGCTGGACCACCACCGGTCGGCACATACACATACACACACACATACACACACGTGGAGAGAAGGGACCCTGGAGTCGGAGTTACTCCAGAACACGTCATGTTACACCTGGGGCGTTATGGGTGCACACAGGAACATCATGCCTCGTCAGGCCGGTGGAGGTGTGCGGTGAGGCCAGGAGGTCAGGAGGCGGACAGGTCAGGGCCATTCAGTATCGGTACCATTGGCACACAACCCAACAACCTTCATTTTTTCCGCACCTTGAAGCCCTCCACCCGCAAGCAGGCCTTGTGCGCCTCTATGAGCGCCTGGCAGTATGGATGCTCCTCTCCTGGATGATGCCAGGCGCCGTATGAGGTCGTTAGGAGTTACGGAGAGCCAAGTATGTGTATTTCCTGGCCGACCCCTGCCAGAGTGGTCGTTTCGCAGAATTCGTACCTCGTTCTGCAATGCACACATCTCGCAACTTTTTTGTATCTGGGCACGTGCAGCAAATCTTTTTGGGCTTGCCATCTGGCCCGATGGGAACGCCGGGAGGCGCAGGTGAAGGCGCTGGCAGCGCTGGGGTTGCCGCTCCTTGCGACTGCTTCGATTCCGAAGATCCCATCACAACGACACGCCCACAACGAGCCTGAACTTCAGTTTCGCGGTCCTGATGTATGATGCGCTAGTATTTATACGCTGGTATCGAACTACACCTCTTTTAGCTGGCAAGCATTAAGCTGCAACAAGTGAATTTTAAGCGCCGTATTACGTTGGCTTATGCATTACGTTGACGTTTTTCACGTTCTCCGGTACAACTGCGTCAAGTTCCCTGTGCACAATCAAGGTCAAGCATTCTTGGATTGTTGTAAACAATTAGACCAGATGTAAGTTGTTGCAACTTATGTTATGGTGGCTGTTCCACAACACAAAGAAGGGTTCCGTGATAGTGTCAGGGTGCGGTCTTTCCTGCGATTAAAGAAGCTTACAAACAATAAACAATCGCAGCGTTCATGAAAAACACAGCATCGCACGCAGGCCACTCGGCCAGCTTAAGCCTCTGCCCATGGGTCGCAATCGGTGTCCACGGCGTTGGGTACATTATGGGGGACGGTTGCTCACATACCAGCTTCACATGAATTGAGAATGTGACTTCAGCAGGACTTGCGATGCGCTTTAGAGTCGGCTTCTTAACATGAGGTGTGCTTGCTCAACAGCGCGGAATGGCAACCGCGAGGCCTAGGATGCAGTAAACGCGCCATATCACATGTACTAACGAGTCATGCATGAAACATTTCTCCTTCGTGTAAAAGTCAGCGACCGTCGTACACATGAAGCACACATGGCTGACTGGGTGCTTTTACACCTCTAGTACTTTTTCCGAAGCAGTCACCAATAGGACTTCACCTTTCATCATTAACGCATCACCACCATCACTACCGTCACTGACTCGCCCCTAAACATACATAGGTGCTCCCGCCACACGACGAGTCTTCGAATACACCTACCCGTACCTATCTACCCTTGCAACCCTGAGTACGACCCAAACAGGTCGAAACCATCCGATTTGAAGTCCGTAGAGTTCATGCCAATATCGACGAGTCAATACAATCAACCTTCTATTGCCCCAGTCATACAGCAGCCAAACTCTGCTTCCATGCTGCTGCCCTGCAACTGAAGTGGTACAATCCTATGCGAGGTACCTGTCCTGTGTCCTACCGTACAAACGATTAACAACTTCCGCAACAGAAGGAAGTTCCAAGGAAGTTTCGGGAACAATGCGGTCGATCGAGGTTAACGTGCGGGCATGTTAAATAAGGCCTCAGCGCCTGAGCCAAGAGCCCAACTTAATTACGTCCTCGATTATGCGCAACGGCCTCTAATACCATCTACACCTGTGCATGCAACCTCGGCTTTTCCGCTGCACCCTATGATCTCCCTGGCTCTAATCCTGTAGACATGTCGTAACAGTGGAAGACATAAGAATCATCCCGTTCTAACAAGCGCCCTCAAGTCCAAACGCCGCCGAGAACCATCGGCTACCAGACCACTCCCGTTGCGGAGTCCCAAATCAGAGGAATAACACGCTCATCTCCTCCCCCCCCTCGCTCACTTGCTTATCACACTGCCTGTTTTCTGTCCGCAATTCTACACAAGAGGGTCCGCACACGCGATGCCAGTGCTACACTTCTCTGTCGGCACCACAGCTTCACCCGTCCCTTTTTTGAGGCACAGTTAAATGGATCACACACGCGTACACACATACACGCATGCAGCGCTGCTCAGTTCCTTGAAACACACAGTGAGGTTTCTTCCTTTTGTTTATCTAATAAAGGTGTTCACCATGACTATCGACACTGCATGCCCTCGCAAACCGCTCTCCCTAAATGTTGCTACGAAAGCGATGTTCCCAGCACACACACACACACACACACAGACACTAGCATATGCATGTCTATGCTCAAAGGAGGGCAGCAGTGCAATGCCCAACCATCAAATGGCCAACCATGCATGACGTAAAGGGACACCAAGACTCGGCATATCGCACCAAGCACCCTAACTTCAACACGCCGTCCCCCCCCCCAGAAGGCTGGTGAAAAGCTGTGTCATGTATTGAATTAACGTGTAGTATGCTACTGGCAGTGGTAGCGGTGGTAGGCAGCAAAAACAAGCATAAACATACAGAAACCTTGCCAGTTTGGCTATACCAGATAGCCTGGCCTGACTCCAAACCTCCTTGAATCCACCCGAGCCGTTTCCGAGTCTCATAACCCGAGGACTATGGTCCCCAGGTGTGGTGTGGGTCCGTCAGCCTCTACCGCGCTATGGGGGTGTCATACGACATCGAGCCAGCCACCAACATGCCACTGTCTTAGTTATCGACATCTCGACATCAGGCATGTGCACACACACATTGCACATACATCCGCACATCCTAACCGCCTTCACAACGATGTCTTCGGACGTCTCCCGCAGGAAACCATCCGTCCTCCTCATGTGAACATTTTGTCCGTTCGCGTTGACCTGGTCCTTCAGCTTACGATGACAACGACGATGATGGCGAGGACAATGAGCGGAGCAAAGAGCCTCCTTCACACATACATAAGACGTCTCTTTCACACACACGCATTCATACAACCAAGCTGCATGGCACTGCATTGAGTTGCATATTGATGAAATCTTTCTGAACCACAGCACTGCACTGATCTCCGTTGGGGGGCAGTGCAGTGTCTCAAGAGCGGTACACTTCGTGACTGCTAAGCCACCACATTACCTGATCCCTACTAGACCTTTCCCACCACATGCTCTGCATGATGCATCTTGCTGTGTAGAGAACATAAGCACCACCGATACCATCACCATCATCACCAAGCTGTAGTTGTTGTATACATACCGTCGGAAACGGATACACGTCTACATACTGCTACACCCGCACAGTAAATTTGCCGTATGTCCGAGCAGAAGACCTCTGTTGACATCCTGTCACAGTCATGTAGATGCAGTAGTAGTTCCCTTTCACAATGAGCTTTTCACTGCCAAATGCTATATTTTATGACATGCTTACAGAGGTAAGCGGCGTCAGGTCTAAATTGTTAAAGCTCGGAGCTGCTGCCAAAGCCAAACGCCTGCAGCTTACCATAACGGCTACAGCTGCAGGAGGCAGCGCAGTTCCTCAACTGTGCTGACGGTGGACGTGATCCCCGGGTCACATACACCTAGGATGTTGTGCAGCGCGTATCGAGCAGCCAACGGTGCGGCAGCATGAGCCGGCACGAAGTGGAGCCGGACCCATGGGTCATTTTTGCCGCCACCCCTGCCGCCATCAGTACCACTACCCGCTGCCGCCGCCACCGCCACCGCCCCTTCCACCCCTGCCGCTGGGCCTCCGATGCCCAACCCCACACCATCAGTGCCCGATGACACCCCAGTACTGTCTGTTATGCCCTTTCGCCTGCCAACTGCCACGGCATCGGCCCCATCGGATCCGCTGGCCCCGCTTCCAACCTCTTTAGCCCCATCTGCGTCGCCGTCGGCACCACGCTGTGACGTGGATCCTGTGCGCACTGCCTGCTGCTGCTGCTGCTGCTGTTCTTGCTGCTGCTGCTGCTGCTGCTGCCGCTGAATTTCTGGGGTCCATTGTCGTGCCGGCGGCAGGTGCGTCGTGGTGTCAGTGCCAGCGCCGACGCCGGCGGCGATGGTGGTGGTGGTGCGGCGCCGAGGCAGGCAGCGGTCCGCTCGGGGCTTGTGAACGCGGTCACCTGTATCCAAGTCCTCCACATCGATGTGTACCTGGAATATCCATTCGCGAAACAAGCGCACGGTCAGCAGGCGTCATGGCGACCTAGGGAAGGCACTGGTTGGACAGGCAGTAGCTGCTGCAACTGCGGTGGGTATTAGGAGGTGCAAATCCCCCCTCGGAAATCTCCCTCCGGCGGTCCCGTTGATCCCATTTATCTACTTGATGTACATTTCCAAGTCCTATCCATTCGCGATCATGGCTCTCACTGGAGTCCCCCTCTTACCGGTATGGACAATTTGCTCAGCTCTCGGGCCACCCGGCTGCGGAAAACCTCCACCTGGCTACGCCTTATCGCCTGCAGGGGTATGCAGCAGGACGGGGACCAACAGGGAGTCGCGGCAGGTGATGAGCGGTAGCAGTAGGCAGGTCGGCAGGAAATCAAGTAAGCAGGTAGGTAGGCAGGAATTGGGGGACGAGCATAGAAGAGTCCTGCATATTAGCCTTCCGTGTTTCCTACAGTTACCCTAAGTTTTCTCCTTTCTCTTTTGCTACGACACGGCCATCGAATCTTGCCACATATATTTTCATATTTCAAGTACCTGCGCGAGGTGGTAGGTGGAGGCGCATTGCGGCCCCAAGGCGTCCGGGGGCAGGTGCTGGGCGGCTGATTCGATCGCGAAGCGGACCTGTACGCAGATTGGAAGCAAACCAAGGATACCTCGGCGAACAACAGATAATAATAGGAGAAACATTAAAAGACGTGCCCAGCACCCCCCTCCTTTCCCACGCCCTTTCCTTGTACCACGCACCGCTTCCCTGCATCTTCTTTCTTTCCTCTTGCTGCTTTCGACCTTCCAACACCTCATCACCCTTCTCCACCTTCACCACCCCTCTCACCTCGTCGTTGAACTCGGGTGCCCGGCACTCCACCGCCCCCCGGATGATGCTGCAAGGCCGTTGCACGTGGGAGTGCCACCGGGGCTCGGGCTCCCAGACCCACAACATCATGTCGCCACCATCGGCACCGAAATCATCGTTGTCACCACAAGCACTTGCACCAACACCAGCACCGCCACCTAAGCCTCCTGCACCGCCGTAACAGCCATCATACATGCTGCCGCCGGGCCCCTCACCGGCAGTGAAATGGACCGATGACGTCAATGCGCTCCTGCAGACCGCACCACCGGCGCTTACGCCTTGGTCATGACCGCCACTGACACGGCGACTGCGACCGCCTAATATGTGCGGCTCTGCCGTTACTGCTCCGACAGTGGCTGCGGTGAGTGCTGGCGCTCCGCCCCAGCTAGCGCGAAGCCCCTCCTGCAGCCTCGCGTCACACCTCTTCCGCTGGACACAATCCGCCGCTGCCTCAGCCAGCTTCGAAAGCAGCGACTGCCCAGCTGCTGCCTCGCGTGTTGCACTCTTGGAAGGCAAGCCGCCGCCATCGCTACATCGGTGAAGCGGGGGCCTTGGAACACCCGCTGCGCGTGCTATTCCTCCTCCTCCGCCGCCACCACCGCTGCCGCCGTTGCCGGGACCGCAACTCGGCGGTGCCGCCGCAGCGGCGACGTAGCCAGCGCTCGGCACTGACGGTAAGGGGGGTGCCGCAGTCCAGCTAACACTGCGGTGGAAGGCGCTGCGCCGACGGGAACAGCTCAGGCTCAGCACGTCACCGTCGCCGTCGCCGCCGTCATTCCCATTTCCATTACCGCCAGCGCTAACAATGTGGGTAACATTCAAGCGCTTCTCCTCCCCCTCCCCGATGTCGGGGACCGGGGATATGGAGCTGGCAGTTATAATGGGGAGGGAGGGAGCCATTTGCAGCCTGCCGGTGTGTAAACCTGGCAGGCTGGCACGCAGCTGGAACTGCTGATGCTGGCGGTGAAGGTCGAGGTGCTGCTCGTGTTGGTTGCTGCGACGCCAGAGCTGTGACCATAATGCGTAAGTGAAGAGGAAATTGGAAACAAACACAAACATGGTTTAGGGGATGGGAAAGGCACGATGAGTACGGTGCGGGGAAAGGGACGAAACGTATTAAATGGCAAGGAGTCTAAAGGAAATGAGGAGAGAAGAGGAAGGGAGGAGTTCAACAGAAGGGTTGGTATACAGGGAAGGGGGACAGGGGGCCTGGCAGGAGCGAAGGAAAAGTGGGAGAAGGTTTTCGAAAGCCGCAAGTCACCGACTGACATAAGGGTAGTGAAGGGGAAAGAATACACCCACCATTGCGCCTGCGGATGTCACTAGCACGCTCGGTGGCGGCAGACCGAGCTCCGCTGCCCGCTGCAGCACCTGTGGCAGCGTACGGCGACTGGTGAGCACCAGACTGCACCGCTGGCCCCCTTGACGACGATGCAGCTGCTGCCGCTCGTACTCACGCCGCGCCGCGGACGGTTGTAACTGCCGCCGCAGTGATAAAGATAAGGGCTGCTGATCCTGTTTCGGCGGTAGTCCTGCAACTAGCAGCTGGCAATGCAGCGCCAACAGCTCATCACGAGTGAGGTGGCGACAGGGCTGCGGCGGCTGCAGTGGTGGAGCCGGTGGCTCTGCAGAAGCTGCGCCGTGATCTAGTGGATGTCTTACGCCGGCATGGTGATAACCTGCTTGGCTTTCCAGCCTGGCTTGTTCACCTTCTACCTTTCCACGTGCCACCGCCCCGCTGGGAACCTCTCTCTGCAGGTCCCAGCTCCGTTGTCGCACAATACAGGAGCTGCCGTTGCTCTGGCGAGGGCTGTGGATCTCAGAGCCGCGACTATGGCTTATCAGCGCTTCCAATCCGGACGCCACCTGATCATCATGGGAGCCGACGCCAGCGAAAACGGTGCACGACGTCTCATTGCCTGCGTCGACTATTGGGCCTGATGGATTGCTGATTGCCAAGTCCAACTGAGAAACGGGGCTCCCGATGTGTACGCCGTCGCCGTCGTCATCATCGTCGTCTTCCATGACCCGCGGGGCCGCTGCGGGGCTGAAGGGACTAACGGCCCCGCTGTCGGCACTGCTGTCGCCGAGGAGCATGGTGACTTCTGCTGTGACGCCCGTTATTGTCGTCCTGGCGGCAGCGGCAGCGGCAGCTTCTGTACGGCTATCGGTGCCGCTGGTAGCGGACGCGTCGCTACCAGGGGCCTGCATGGCAACGGTGGCGGAAGGACGGATCCGTGCGTTGCCACCGTCACCACCACCACCGGCGTCGTCGTTGTCATCGTTCTTGCTGTCGTCGTAACCCGCCGACAGGGATGACGGCAGCAAGAGCGACCTCCGAAGCCGTCCTGTGGGGTTTGGTTGTTTGCATCGCCGGTTAACTGGTTTGTAATGTGAGTTCAACGCTCAACCTGAATCGCCAGTTCACCATCCACGCGCCACTCTGCACAGCCATTCCCTCGAACCCCCAATCACTTTCTTATGCTGTTCCGCCAGCACAATCATCAACCCTCCTCAGCCCTCACCTGCAGCCTTCCGCCTTATCCGGAGCGGCAACTGAAACAACAGGTCAGCATCGAGCACCAGCGTGGGCGGCAGCTGAACGACGGCATTGTCCTCTTCCTCCTCCGCCTCCTCCTCCTCGTGTGCTGCCCTCTCTCCCTCCTCCGACATTCCCCCTCCTCCTTCCCCTTTTTCCGTGTCCTCGTCCACGTCGTCCGCAGCCACCGCCCCATCCCCCCGCTGCTCCTCCTCCTCACTCCTTTTGTCTAAATTAGGGCCATCCGCGGACTGAAGCCCTGCGTCAGGCGTTGCATGAAGGCGACACCCGCGGCGCGCTGCAACGGAGTCCTGCGGGACATGTGGCGGTCGCTGCGGTAACTGCCGCGGCTGCGGCTGCGGCCGCGGCGGCAGGGATCGCAGCTGGGTCAAGGAAGTAGCAGCTTCATCGCCCATCACAAACCGCGAAAGCACCCCTTCGTTCGCAGCGGCGGGAATGCCCTCAGTGACGGCGATGGCGGCGGGCGCGGTTGCAGTGGCGGCGGGTTGATCGACAGACCCGTGGGTCGTGCGCACCGGCGACACCGGTTCCGAAGATACCGAAGAAGATGATGATGGTGACGGCGTCACACTATCGCCGTCGCTACAATTTCTGCTGCCACTGCCGCCTACGCCGCTGCTGCCTTCCACCATATCCTTTTCACTGCTCTCTACAACGGCCCGTTGCTGTGATATCTCTTCGCCGCTCTCGTTATTACTGAAGTGCTCTATGAGAGGCGTTGATATTGGATGGTCCTGGTGCTGATCCGACTCCGCCATCGCCGCCAGCGACGGCTCCCCCGACAAGGCCCCTGTAGACAACGCCGGCGGCGGCGGCGGCGGCGCGTACACCATCGCCGTCGATGCGGTTGACGGCGCCGCTGGCCAAGCAGAACCCAGACTGCGGCGGCGATTGACAGCCAGCGCATGTCGAAGACCGTAGACTGCGTCAGCGCCGTCGGCGCTGCCGTACCCGTGTCTGGCGCGGTGGCCTTGAACGTCGTTGGCTTGGGCATCCGCGGAGCGCTCCAGGGCTGGGCCCAGATCTCGCGGCCGTCGCCGGCGGACGCGGCCGACGGCTCTACCAGCAGATCCGCTGCGGTAACCGCCGGCGGCAACTGCTGCTTCCGCCGCAGCGGCAGCGGCAGTGCCGGCTGGGCCACAAGCCGATGGAGTAGCCGTCAGCTCCAAGAACGGCACGTGGGCGCTTAACGCTACGCTGTTTGACCCGGTGCTGCACGTACAACTCGATACACTGGCGGAACTACCATCTGTCGACGCCGCCGCTGCTAGCAGCGGCGGCGGCCCTTTCGAGGTGACCTCATCGCCGGTATCGTCGCTATTACTATTGCTATCGCTATCACTACCGCAGTCGTACCTCGTTACCGCCATACGTGCAGAGGCGCTGCGGCCCAGCCTGCTCTGCTGGCTGTAATGGGCTTGCGGCACAGCTTGCGCGTGAGCTAGCACAGGGTCATGATGGTGATTGTGGTGCTGGCGAAGCTCATCGGGGGCCCCGTCACCACGCACATGGGCCTCGGAGGCGGCCTGCCGGAGGCTGCTAATGGGGCCCTTGCCAACCGCGCCGCCGCTGCTGGCGTACCTAGCGCCGGCCCCCGGCAGGCGATGTTCAGTGCACAATGACTGTTCGCCCAAATTCGACTGCGCTGTAGCATCACCGGACGTCGAACCCAGCGACGACACCTCACCCGGCGTGTGGGCTGACGGCGGCCACGTCAGCGGCCGCGGTGACGATGGCGACGGCGCTGCCGATATTGTCGTAGGATGAGCCTGAGTTGGCGAGAGCGCTGACGAATGGCGGAGGCGGTGGTGGTGGTGATGGCGGAGGGGCCCTGTTGTGCTGAGTGGGCTGGCGGATGCGGTGGTGAGGGTGAGCGGAGCGCTGACGGCGGCGGGAAGGTCGTTGGCACCGGCAGTGGAGGTGCTCATGGCTGCTGCCTCCACAATCCGCCTGGCCGCCTCGATCAGGACCTGTGTGTTTTGCCGTGCAACATGTCACAGGATAAGGTTATGCAGTGAGCTACGAAAAGAAATCAGGTGAGGCACCCTGCGAGATCTTGGAGGAGCGGAGGGGTCGTGGTTTGGTGGGGAAACATATGCAAAAGCGAGGAATCAACTGCCGACGTCCAAAGTACCGTGGTTGGTGGGGAGAGGGGCACGGACACATGTATGTGCCGACGTGTGCGTGAGAGCTCGTGCAAACCGTCTGATGGAATGGGTGTGGAAGTGGAAGAGGGCAGCTAAATTAAATGCATACAACGAACATTCGTGTGGAATCATTTTGCGTCGTGCGCAGTAGATGTACGGCGTGTGCTGTACAATGGACGTACCTGCTGGTGGCGCTGCATCAGGTTACGGATCCGCAGCACCGCTTGCTTGAGGTTGCCAAAAAAGCTGAGCGGAGCAAGTTTGGGGGAAATGCACGCAGAATGAGAGGCGGAGGGGAGATGGGTGATGGCTTGGAATTCACGCAGGGGGAAACATGAGCGCGTTGCCATTGGGGACAGCGCTTTACGAAGGCGACTGGTCAAACATAAAAACGAACCAGATAACTTAACGGGATAGTGCAGGTGCGCCCATAGATAATTTTCAGGGACGACTCCTGCAGAAGGCCAAGCGATACCGCCTGGGCAGCCCTGAACCCCATCAGGGGCCAATTCCCCCTCTCTCCGCCGCTTCCACCCAAACCCCTATAGTCTGTCCGCCGCGCACCATTTCAAGTTGTCGAAGAAGGCCCGCGCATTCGCGAACGGCCATTCGCGGACGTCTCGCGGTGCGCCCGCCGCGACCCGCAGGTCCGCAGCCGCAGCGGCCTCTAGGGCCGTCGCCGTAGCGCGCAGCTCGCCGTGCAATACGGCGGCCTCCCGTACTGCCGCCAGCGCACTGCGCACCCCCTCCGCCAGGGCTCTATACTCGGATTGCCACCTGAAGGCGGTGCAACCGTTGGGAACCATTACGTCGTCGTCGGAGACGCAGAGGGGAAGATGAACAACGAACGAGTGAAACTGATGCCAAGGATATCGAGGAAAGGAGACGTGGGGGGAATGATAACTATATTCCCCCGGAGGACGTAATTTCATCAAAACCACGTCAAGGGGGTTGCACACACTGGAACCGACGAGGTCGCTGGGACGCGTCGAGGCTAGGGGAGGAGGTGCAATCGGGTAAGGCGCCCAACAATACGACAGCACTAGGTCATTGGACGTAGCAGTACGTGTGGCAAGTTGTGGCGTGTGGATGTAACGCAACCAACATTTTGCCCTCTGTCCTGCCATGCTGCCAAGAGAGCACCTTTCCCAATTGGTGCTTTGGAGGTCGGCAATTATTATCATTGGTTTCTGCGTACAAGTTCACCGTCTCGTTTCCCAAGCTCCGTTCCGTGCAAAACTCCGTAACTTCCTGATGCGTCATGGGTAATTGTATGGCTTTCGCTTCGCTTCACTTCAATTCCCTCCAAAGGCCGCTGGGTGCCTTCCAGACCCTCTCTTCCAAGCCTGCAGCTTCCCCTCTGAAGGACCTGGAGCCTCCTCACCTGCTTAACAGCGCCGTCCACTCTCGTAACAAATCCGCTAAGCTGACGGCCCGCTGGGCCGCCGGCGCAGCAGCCACCGCAGCGGAAGGACGCATTGGTTGGGGCTGCGGCGGAAGCGCGACGGAGGCAGTGGCGGCAGCAGTGGCACCGCCCGCATTCTCCACCCCTTGCTGTCGCTGCTTCTGCTGGTCAGTCTGCACTTGCTCCTGGAGTACGGGATAACAGGCAACGAGGGAGTCATGGAAGTGCAGATGGTGACATGACGGCGAAGTGCGACGCCTGAGAGATAAATAGGGATTTGGACAGGGAGTGGATGGGGACGGGCGGTGGGAACGGAGACATAGGGGTTGAGTGGGGACGGGGCTCCGCGGTGCAGGGCTTGTGCTGATCGAGTGCTCTGCGTTTAGCGGCACCCAGCCACACACACCTTCAGGCAGTCCAGGAATTTGGCCACCCGACTGATGCCCTTCTCGTCCATCTCCGCCACATCGTGGGACAGGACCTGCAAGTTGGTACGTTGGTACGGAAACAACGTATGGCAATGCACGAACGCAGTTTACCTCATGGTAGGGAGATACAAGTACAAGGATTTGAGTTACAATAAAGCATAACACGTGCCAAAAGAGTTCTGAACACGGCGCCGTCCTCATCCCTCTCCTCCCATCCCCCCTTCCATTTCCCCGGGCTCTCCACCTTGAGATCTACCGCTGCCGCTGCTGCCATTTTCTCCTCCAAGGATGTCAAATCACTGAGACGCCGACGACCCCCTGGGAGCATGAGCATGGACTCCACCGCAATCTGGTCGTGGTAGTTGTGTGGGTAGTGAGGTGGGAGACGGGGGCGGGGACGGTCAAGCGGACAGGTAATGGAGCAGAGCATGGGACAGGGCCGCAGCCACCGCAGCCGCACCGGGCAGAAGGAAAAACCGGACACGCAGGAACACCCTCCCCCTAGACGTTTTCCTTTCTCGAGTCCCCTTTTTCCTTCCGTTCTACTCTACCCCCTTGCTTCTCACCTCCAGCAGTGACCACTGGTTATCCCAGGTGCGCATCTCAGCAAACTTGTTGAGGGAAGACATCTTGAAACCAGCAGCGGCGGGGTTGCCGCGGTGCCGGTTCACCTCATTGCCCAGGGAAAGAAGCTCCTGCGGGTGGCACAGGTAACGGCAAGAAAAGACGGTTACGAAGCCAACCCCAGCTGATGTGAAGCATGTCAACAAGGCATACGATGGTTACAAGCGTAGGGAGGGCACGAGAGTATAAACCCACGGCACATAAGCTGCCGGAGCCTATGAAGCGGGGAAGATGGAGGTACCGGAAAAACCGGACAGCGGAACTGGACATACAAACACGGTGCCCCTGGCCAGTAGCACGATTGCCCCCTGCGTCGACCTTTCCCACCCCCCGGGACTACCTCCTTCCCGTTAGTTAAATTATTCACATTCAGCATATGATTCCTCTCCTTGGCCCCTTCTTATCCGTTTTGCCCACTCGCCTTAAGCAGCCGCCGCCATGGCCAGCTGTTGATCAGGCTGCTACAAGCGGTCCGCACGGTGGCAGCCAGGCGGGTCTTCTTGGCCAGGTCCTCGTCGAAGTGATGCCTGAAGATACCCGGGATGAAACGTGTGGCCAGGTGGGATGGAGCAACATGACAAATTGTGAGAAAGTGGCGGTGAACGACTGGCACTTCTTTATTTTTGCCCCTCACACACGGCCACCAGCTGCACTGATTGCTTCCTATTGCATTTTCATCTCCTCTTCTCTTCCCCCGTCCAGTCACGCGCCGCACCAAGGGAGTTCTTTTTTTGCGCTTTGCTTACTCTCTAGCCCATGCCTGCACGCTTCTTTGTACAACCTCGCGCTCGCCGCGCCTTGGTGTTCTATTTCCGCTGTGTTGCACCTCAGAATGGTGCATGGGAACTGGTAGCACTCCAACCTTCACCTCACCTGAGTTTGAGCATCTCCAGCCGAAGCCTGGCATGCGGTACTGACGCCAACACATGCACAAAGCGCTCCGCCGGACCCAGGCCTGTATGCGACAGGGGGACGGGCAGGAAGAGCTTACATCCGTACAGACATGCAACTCGTATCAGAAGCGGGTGTATGTGCGGTTTTACGGGCCAGCATCTACGGAAAAGGGATGCCCTCCTAAGCGAGAAAGGCGAAAACACGGGCAAGGATATCGGATACGACGGTGTATAACAGACCACCGACCATGCAAGGCACTGAATATTAAGGTGGAAAGGGGAGGGTCGATAAGGCGGCAGTGCAGATTGAAACTTCCATGACCCAGATTCGAAACATTCTTTGCATAATTAGCTGCTGCTTCTGCAGCAGGAGTAGTACATGGGCGTCAAAGCGTACGCTAACGCGAACGGTCACAACCGCATTTCGGACCCGTTCGCTGCGCGTCAGCATGCCACTGAAGAAGATGGGTGCCGAGGTCATGGTAACGCCCCTTCCATCTAACGGCAAAGTACGCGCGAATCCCCCACTCAACTACCACGCCAATCCACAAAAAATAACACAGTTACGCCCCGTCCAAGAAGTCTGTGTCTCTTGTGCGCTGTCTATATCGCAGCCCTCGCCCAAGCCCACCCCTTACGCCTTTTCCACGGCACCTTCGTCCCCACCCCACATGACACCCAGGAGTACGCACTGTGCCGTACCTGCAGGATCGTTACTCTGGCACCACGCCAGCACTCGTTCCGCATCCTCCGGCTTCGGGTAACCACCCAAACACTGGAAGAAGGATGGAATTTTTAGCGCAAGGCCATCACAACGGACGGTAGAAGCAAACCGGCGTGCGGCGGGGTAGAATGAAAACCGCTATTGCTTCAGCCCTGGTCTCCGTTTCGCGGCTTAGCCGTCATCACAAACAGCGACACGTGAGTGCGGAACTTTATTCCAGCCATGCATACCTCCATTATCCTGCTCTTACCAACAACATCAACAATAACAAGGACGCACATATACAATAAACACTTGCAGTTTACGTATTTTTCTCCTCGACGCCTAGCTGTGCTTAGGATACACACCTGCAGCACAATGGTCGCGGACAGCATTCCATGATCCATCCTCTCCAGTGCTGAGCCCAGCTGCTCGGGGGTGAGGGCCGCCTTGGCGAATTTGATCAGGATGTTCTGGGCGGTGCTCGGGTCGAGAAGGCATGCCTTGCCGTCTGGTGGGTTGCAAATTTGAAGGCACAGGAGTACCGGCAAGGTGGAGTGTGTGTTGCGAAATAGAAAGAGACCCAGAACGAAGGGCGCGATGAAGATGCATGCAGGGGAAGGAAGAGATGGCTTGAGGCAGAAAATTGAGGAAGAGCTTAGAAATGCAGCACAAGAGGGGGTTCCATCGGGAGACGAGAAGCAGACGCACTCCCGAAAAAGTAAAGGAACATATAGAGGGAGGCGGCTTGTGCGTACGGTCGCGTCCCAGCACCGTGCCGCGTATACACACGCACGCACGCACGCACACAGCCGTGCGCATACCCGTGTACCTGTATTTCTCGATAGCTTGAAACTGCTTCCCAGGGAGGCTGGTCGCGCAAACATGGCCAACTTCTCCGCACCGCTAGCCACTGCGCGAGGGTTGATACCCTTGGCCGCCATAAGGGAGAAACAGGCGGGGAAGGCCGGAGAAAAGATGTGAATGCAGTAACAAAAAAATGAGGAGAGCGGATACGTGCTGAAATGGCATGCAGTTTCCGTTTCCGTTCTTATACCCACCCACCAAACTTCCTTCCCCCGTGAAGCTCACTTACTTGAGATCCCCTGCGCGGCGCTGCGTGCAACCTGGCTACAAAACCATGTACGGATGCTTCAGTTTCGGTTTGAATTGTCCCCTTTCCCCGGGAAGACTGCCGCGCATTTTCCCGGATTCAGTCTGCTGCCTTCTTACTGCATGAACCCCCGTTCCCACCTGCACCACTGGACTAGCCCATAGCGTGGGTGCCAGTACCATCTTTGCGGAGGGAGGAATCGCCTCCCAGTGGAGGACCTTGCGCTCCAGGGACACCAAGGCACGCGGCGTAGCGGCGGCCGCGGCGCCGCCACATCCGCCACCGGCCGCGGGGGTTTCGGACACGGGTGTCGCACAGCTGGAGGGGTGGCCTGATGGGTCAGCGGCACAGGACGGCAAGGTATTGCGAACATCAAAAACCTCCGTGAGTCGAAGCTGCAAATGTCGTGTCCTTTGAAAGCGCGTTCGACTTAGCCCGAAGGGCACGAGCCCCTAGTGATGTCGGCAGGTGCCGCCCGTGGGCATTTGGGTCGGAATTGGGGCCATAACAGGATTGCAAGGCTCACCGAGTTCACTTGGCGGGGCCCCTGGAGTACTCCCGACGGAATTACCACCGCCACGAGCCTCAAGAGTGTTATGTGAACCAGTGTTACAGGCGGCGGCAGATGCGCCAGCACGTGTGACGATGGGCGCCAAGCCCAAGTGCGGCGCCGGCAACGAGCCTGGCTTGCCATGTAGCTGCCTTGGCGGTGGCGGCGGACCTGGCGGCGGCGGCGGGGTCACCTTGGCAGCAGCGAAGCCTGCACCGGTGGACGAAGGCGGCGGTGGAGGTCCGGGCGGTGGCGGTGGCCCCTTAGCCTTCGCCGGGCTAGGGTACCCAAGAACTGGACGCGGCGGTGGTGGGCCTGGTGGCGGGGGAGGAGGCTTTGCTGCAGTTGGCTTGGTTGGCGCCACCACCGGCGGTGGCGGTGGGCCCGGCGGTGGCGGGGCCGCCTTCGAGGGTGTAGTCTTGGGGAGTCCTAAAGTTGGTGGCGGTGGCGGCGGGCCTGGCGGCGGCGGCGGTGGCGGGGCCTTGGCAGCAATTTGCTTAGCGGGGCTGATAGCCGGCGGCGGTGGCGGAGGCGGTGGGGGCCCTGGAGGCGGCGGTGGCGCCGCGGCCATCTTCGATTGTGGAATCACCCTGGAAAGGCCCGTGGCTTGTGGTGGCGGCGGCTGCGATGGATCTGGCTGTGGAAGTTTGAGCCCAGGCGGTACCGATGCCTTTGCCGGAGACGCCTTGACAATGTGCAAGGCAGTGACCGGCGGCGGTGGTGGGCCTGGCGGCGGTGGCGGCGGTGGTGCCGCCTTCGCTGGACTGGGCTTAGCCGGACCGACAGCTCGCGGCGGCGGCGGCGGCGGACCTGGCGGCGGCGGTGGTGGTGCTGTCGACGCGCCACCTTGGGCTGGACGCATCACCAACAGCGGTTGCGGCGGTAGAATCTGCGCGGACGGCAATCCCCTTAGGGTCGGAGCAAGCGGTGGTGGTGGCGGGCCTGGCGGTGGCGGCGGCGGCGGCGCCGGACGGCGACTGCCAGTAGATGCTCCAGCTGGGCTCGATGCTGCGGTGTTGCGGTTGCCACCAGTCCCCGAGGGCGGCGACGTTGACCTGGAATGCGCTCCAGACGACAGCGGCGAATGAGTGCTGCTGCTGCCCCAGGACGCTTCGCAGTATACTGAGTGCCCATCTCCTGTCGCCGCCGCCACAGCTGCCCCTGCCGCCGACACTGCCGTTGGTGCCGGCTGCGGCTTTTCTGAATTCCCGCTGCCATATGCCGGCAGCCCCTCTTCCGGTCCCTTCGGATTGCAGTGTCCCCCGGCTCCGTCCCTCACTGAAGCCCCGTCACATGCCGACAGCAATGGCTGTGGCGGCGACGCGGCAGGGGTTTTGATCTTAGCTCGCAACGCATCGGCGGCTGCAATTAAAGCCTTCACATCCGAAGCTAGCTTAGCCGCGGTAGCGCGCTCGCCACGTAGAGACGCCTGGAGGAACGCGCAGGAAGATGGGGAGTAAGCACATGTTACTGGTGGGTGTTGGGTTACGTGATATGTGAACGATGATACGTTCAGGTCCGCCGTCGTTTTGGGGCTTTTTAGGGGTAAGGCATCCATCGCCGGTATCACCAATGCAGACCCGCTTTCGTCTTAAAAAAGGCAAGGCCCGGGAAGCTTATACACTGAAATGCGTTACTCTTCGTTGAGAGCGGATATCTACTGCATACGCTTCCCGGCTGCCCGCCTCCGAACGCTTCCGTACGAAGTATGTCGTACATCCGTGTCGTGCCGCACGGGGCCGAGTCGCCTTGCCACACCCGATGAGCCATCCTATGGGCGCACCGCTGCCAGTACCGATGTCCCGCCAAAACGTCGGTCACAACAGGATATCAACAGGGTTACAGCACTGCCATGGCACAACTACTGACTGACCTCCAGCGCCGCCCGCGCCTTGACGGACGCCTCAACACGCAGTCGAGCTGACTGGACCTCCAACGCGCCGTCGTCGTCGCGCTGACGCCCCACACCATCCCCAGGACGGCCCTCTGCTGCTGCCTCCTCAGGCGATTCAGGCTCGCCGCTTCCATAATTGTTCCGGCTACAGCTTCCTTTTCCCACCAGGGAGCCCTTCCCCTTGCCATCGGGGAGGCTGAGCTCTTCGCCTACCGTCTCCGGTTGATGTTCCGACTCGGATTCAGATTCGCCGCCGGAACCCAGCTGCTGCAAGCGGGATTCCTCTGCTGCAAGCATCGCGACGGCCGCCGCGGCCGTAGCTGCACTGAGGAAATCTGGCGAGCTGGTCATGGGTTGCGGTCGTCGCCGCAAACACGGTGAGGACGGCGATGGCAGCTGCAGAGATGATGTCGTCGCCGCCGAGCAAGGACTATCCCCTGCCGGGGCACCCGCCTGATCCCGTCTTTGCTGGCGGTCCTCCTCGTTTGGTCGGGTCGCGCTTCCTGAAGGACATGTTGGCTGTACTTCAGCGCCGGCGGTGTCGCCATCGCTGTCTAGGTGGCGTCCCTCGATGGTGACACGGCTGTTAGGGGCAGAAAGCGCCTGACTGGCCGCTGCAGTCGGCGTGGATTTGGTGGGTGTCGACAAGTTGGAGCCCAACAACTTAGGCGCCAGGCGCTGATGAGCGGGGGATACAACTTCCGGTGGTAGCAGCTGGTGCTTATTTTCCGGCGCTGATAAGGGGGCCAAAGTTGGGGCCGGCGCTGCTAGAGATGCTGCATGAGAAAGGGTGGCGTTGAAAGAGCCATCATGACCCGCCGGCTGAGCGCCTGCATATAATAACAAATAAGATAATAAACGTGATTCTGGTGGCTTAGCGTCTGGGTGCTATGTGCAGGGGATAACTTGAGCAAGGGGCAACACCTACCGGGCACGGTGCTGGAGTTGATGAGCAGAGACTGTAACCGAAGGCGCAAACATAAGCTTTCCTGCACATTTAAGTGTACCCAACGCTTATTATAAGTAGCGGTGTAGAGCGGCGCACAGCCTACGTCCCTGGGCTTTCACCCGAAGGGGTGAATTATTGTGGCTGACAAACGCTATGGTGGTTTAGATCTCACCTCCAGGAGGGCTTGAGCCCGGTGGATGAATTCGCCAGGTGAAACGCAGCCTTCCGGCGTGTCGCCCGCATCCATTATTCAAACAAGAAACGCGGCCCCCGCAATGTAAAGTCCCTATAAGCAAGCCCTTGGAGCATCGCATGCACGTAGGCCCCACATCAAAGCGCCTTTGTGGCTTTCGTCTTGGTTAGACTGGAATCCTAACCAGCTAGAGAAAGATACCTTTGTATAATCCTGCCGCAACCCAGACATGCATAGCAAAATGCAAATCATCGTGTACATACAATCAAACAACGACGCCCAAGTGTCTTCCCTACACGCCAACTGATTAACAGCTGGTAAACAAATAGTACGACATTCGGGAAGGAAACTTATGGTTGGCTGTAGGTACTAGGAAGTGTAACAATGTACCCTTTCAACGTTTGGCGTTAGGAGGTACATCATACATAAAAGGAAAACGACGGATCCGGAAACCTCGATTGGGAGCTCTGCAGAGACAAACATTTGTGCATGTGCGGAGTAACCTAAAATGAGCTTTTACTTCGGGTCATAGCTTTGCCTTAAAATTACCGTGATCGGGGCTGCTTATCGGGCGGTCTGCGGCGGGTGGAGCACAAACTTGGGGCGCTTAAAGACTCGCAAGGGTCGTCATAAATCCAACAATTTGTTCGAGTTTATGAGACTGCTTTCGATAAGTTTGGTTGGCGCGTTTTTCTCACGATTTATCCATCGCGGCAGCACGTCCCTCTCAACTTTACGGAATCCTGAACACAGAGGCCAGGAATCATCGTTAGCTCATCGTAAAGGGCCTTCTTGACATGTCGGGAGCTCTAGCAGCGCGCAGGGCCCACGATGAGGCCGACAAGGGTCGCGTTGACAAGACCCGCGTTAAGCGCTATTGGCCTGGCAAGGCTCCGGAATGGGCCGAGCAGCAGCAGGAGGAGGAGGCCCCTCGCGAGCGGGTGCGGACAGAGGTGGCGGCCCCGGTTATCGTCCGCCGGTAAGCTCCATATCCGGCCTGCAGTCGTACACAGTGCTCGAAGCAGAACGATTCGAGGGGAGCCCTCCAGATCACGCTGGGGGTTCATGGGAGTAGGCACAGACAGATTGAGCGCGCTTCATGTCGTAACACGCCCTCTTAGCCATATCATCCTGGGGGCTGTATAAGTATTCGAATACGTATTCGGGGTAGCCCGGCACGCAACTCCGACCCAGAACCGCATCAACCCGGTCCCCTCGTTTCTCTATCTAAGCCCTCCAGACCGCCTTGACATTTCGGACCAACCCTCCACTCCAGGCTACGTCAGCGCAAGTCCTCCCTAGTATTTGTGTCTACCGCATACACCACTTCCATGTCAACGAAAAAGCTTTCCCAGCCATCCTGCCACCCCGCCGCGCAAGCACTCTACGGGAAAGATAGTTCGCACTACTCTTCCAAACTTGGCAACCTGGCTGTTCAATATACAGCTGGCTCCCACTTCATGTCATCTTTTCCCGCTCACCCGCCGGCAGTTGATACTTGCTCTTCACATGCAAGTTCACCCACGTACCCCACCCACCCGCCCATCCGTCACATCCCACGGCTGCAGGGCGGACGATCCCCGCTTGGCTCGTCTAATGCAATCCCGGGGTGCCGACAGAGAGGAGGCGCTGCAGGCAAGCAAGGACCCATTAGAGTTGGGGGCCCCCTGCGTTTGGGAGTGGTAGCCAAGGGCCCGCGATGGGGTGCGGAAAACTGCAAAGAGCCCTCTCAGCTAGGTGTTCTTCTGCTGTAAGCACCATGGTGCCTGAGGGTGATTCGCTTTCGCAGTAGGAGCAGGGCAATGGTAAACGGGGTGGGAAGGGGAGTCCGTGAAGTAGGACGCCGGTCGTGTTTTCCGATCCGACTACACCTCACCTACTGGTGTCGTATCGTTTCTCCCACGTTAATGTTGCTACTACTGCTGGTGTGGTGGTGGTGGTGGTGGTGGTCGTGGTATTGATGATCGCACAGGAGCGCCGGCAGATTCGCGCCGCGGAGATTGTGAGGATGAAGAGGGGCCGCAGCGAAGAGCCGTCATCAGAGCCGGGGACCGAGGGGGCCAGCTCGGAGGAGGAAGAAGACGAGAAGGAGGAGGAGGAGCCTGCGGATGATGAGAGGGGGGAAGGGCAGCGGCACCCGCAACGGCGGCGGCGGCGCTCCCCGTCAGTCAGCGAAGAACCGGAGGAGCGGGGCGAGGACCAGCCGGCGCTGGAGGTAAGGGTGGCCTGGGTCTAGCTGTGGAGAGGAAGGGAGGGAAAGACAAACCATGAAGGAGTGAAGCTGCTGCCAAGGAAAGAGTGTACAAGAAGCAGAACTGACCAGTAGGCGTTCTTGAAGGCGGCGACCTGATGTAATGATGATGACAGCGGAAACCAACCTACATAGCCGCCAAGGCTAAAATAAGAGCGGAAGGAAAGTAGTAGCACGAAGCCGTAAAGAAGTAATGAAGGGAGGGGAGGTGGTTAAGGATTGCCTTGATTGTTGGGGACCGGAACGGCACCAGAAGGGGCGGGAGGGGAGACCTGATTCCTCACACACACACACACACCCTCGTCTTTATCTACCGTTCTGATATCCTGCATTTCTGTCTGCCCTCCCCACCCCCTCTCAGAACCGCCGGGGTCTTCTGGGCTTCTGCACCTTTAAAAACTTTCCATTCTCACTCCACGTTCTCGTGCTCCCGTGCGGGTTTCCTAATCATACGCTTGACCTCTTCCTTGTTCCCAACCCCTACCGGTTGGCGACTAACGATGCCTTGCCTTCGGGCTGAGTTCGAGGGCTTTTTCCTGATCCCTTTCCCCGCATCGGGGTGTGGGTTCGCAGGCGAATGCTTTCCTAACCCTCCCCGCGGCGACTGGTCCCCGTGATTCTCTTTCCCCACAGGGTGATGTTCCCGCTGATGAGATGCGGCGGCGAGTGGCCCGGCGTCAGGCCCGGGAGGAGCAGCCGCAGGAGGAGGACGAGGAGGCGGCGGCAAGGCGGCGGCAGGCGGTTAGGGAAAGGTATGTCGGGGGGGTTGCGAGGGGTGTGTGCATGTGAAGTAGCGGGGGATGGGATTCCTACACCTATTGCAGGTGCCCAAACAGTGAACGTGCAAAACATTTTAAGACGCCTGAGACGTTGGACGTGTGGTGGTTTGCCGGAGTTGGGAGTACATGCGAACGTGTAAAAAAGATTCAACTCCCGATTATGTCAGCAACCAGCCATTCAAGCGAGGGATCAGCTGCAGATGCACATATCCATGAGCATGGAACCGGATGGAGGGGACTGAAAATGGGAGTGGAAGTGCGTGTATGTGTATGTGGGAAAGTGGGGGACGTTGCTTCGGCGGACCCATCTCTTTTGTGGCTCTGCGGGCTAGGGCTGTGGCTTCTGAACCCCAAGCGGGGTATTCATTCGCTCCGGGAATCCGTTGCTCCTCCTGCTTTCTGCGCTTTCCCAAACCTCCCCAAGCCCTCTGTGTAGTGTAGTGTGTGGGTACCTCGGCTGGTTTGCAGTGCAGAGACTTGTCACCACATAAAACCTGTTCTCACAATTTTTTTCCTGGTTGCATACCATTCCTCTCTCTTCCCTTCTCGTTTTCCTTGCTTGCTTGGCGCAGGCTGCTGCAGCAGCAGCGTGAGGAGGAGCTGCGGCGGCAGCAGCAGCTTCAGGAGCAGCAGCAGGAGGAGGAGGAAGAGGAGGAGGTGAATAAGAGACACGAAGGGAGGGAGGGAGGGAAGGGGATGGAAGGGGAGGGAGCAGGAGCACGTTTTGTTTGGTTTGAGATGGACGGGGCCGGCCACGACGTGCGAGCAGCGACAGGGCCGGCGAAGGCGGAGGGAAAGGGCTGCTTCTTGTGTTCTTCCGGAAGGGAAGAGGCCATGTGCAGTGAACTGTATATTGGGCAGTACAGTACAGCGCAGTACAGGATCAGTTCAGTACGGTGCGGTACAGTCAGGGGCCGAGGGGTTATTGGGCGAGGAGATTTCGTTGTCTTGGTTTGTGTAACACAGCAGGAACCCTGGACACATGGAGCAGTGCTGTATGAGGAGTATTACGAACATATTGCGGCGAATGGCGTAAAGCGGGTTTTAGTATCTTGCTTGGTCTGTGTTGCCCTTTGCTGGGGTATGCATCGGCACCCTGGTATGCTTCTCTCTCTTGCCACTGCTCCCGCATTTGCATCCTCCGCCCTCCTACGTTTTGCCGTTCGTTGTCCTTACCTCTGTCCGTACCTCTATCCGCTTGCATCTCTTTCTGACTGCGTATCTGCCTTTCTGTCTATGTATGTGTTTCTGCTCGTTTGTCCGTTTGTCCGTCCGTGGCTTGCCCGTCTGTCCGTCTGCCTGTATGTCCGTCCGTCCGTATGTCACACCCCCTCCCCCACGCCGCCCTCCCACCCGTCTCAGGAGGAGTCCTCCGAGTACGAGACTGACTCAGAGGAGGACGACGGCCCGGGTGAGGGGAAGTTCAGCGGGTTGGCGGGCCATGGGGCTCCTTGACCAACAACTCTCTAAGTCACTTGCATCTCATCGGAAATCTAACAGTTCATGTGCATTCTCATTTCCATGCCCTAACCGCAACTCTGCATCTGTTTTTTGTCATTTCCTTCCTAAACCTTCAAGTCCGCATCCTTTCCAAGTTGCGCTTAGCTTTGCAACCCCCTCGTATCCGTCCGTTGATTTTTTAAGTTTCCTGCCGCCATCCCCGTATTCGCAAGATGTTTCTTCCTAACCCTCTGCTCACTTCCCCCCCGGCCCCGTGTCTTCTGTTCAGGGGGCCGGCTGCTGAAGCCCGTCTTTGTGCCCAAGCACGCCAGAGACGTAAGTGACCGATTTAAACGGGTGTCGTGCCATATCCGGACCAAGCCAAGCCAGTCTCGACAGAGCACAGGGCTTCTGAGGGCGAAGATTCTTTAAGGGAGGGAATGTCTGCTACCGTGTCGCGTGGGCGGCTTTCCGTGCGAGTCTCTCTGTCTGCTTTCAGTCCCCTCCATCTCTCCCCCTCGGCCGCTCCTTCCGTCATCTTCCCTAATTCATTTCACATGCATTCCCACACAGGAAGGGATGGGCGATGCAAGTGGCTTTGGGGGCCCGTCCGATTGTAAGGCTTGTTGCCGCTTTCCCCCGTGTCATACTCATGCGGGCACCTCCATCCATCTCTTTGGTCTTCGGTGCTCGATCTGCCTTTTGGTGCTGCCTCTTTGGCATCCCTCCTCCCGTCCCTGCCTTCTGGTTGCGCATCCCTGGCAGTTGGTGTTTCACTTGGATTTTCACTTCACTGCAACTGTCTTACTTGAATATTTCCTTTTGGGACCCCGTGCGTCTTCCCCCTAATGTGCTCATATATCTCCTTCCGCGTCATGGGCTGCTGCCTGCTGCCCGGGCCGTTCCCGGCTGCGCCCCTCAGACGGTGGCGGAGCGGGCGGCGCTGGAGGAGGAGGAGGAGAAGGCAGTAGGGAAGGAGAAGAAACGACTTGAATCCAGAAAGGTGCGTCAGGGTCGCTCTTTTCACACACTCCATACTGTTCGAATCAACCACCGGATGTCCGCATTACCCTGCCCTTGTGTGTGCTACCGCCTAAACCCACGCGTCCTTTTCATCTTTCCCCTTCCCTGTACCCTTTTGCCTCGCGTCAACTGACCCAACCTGGTCACCACCTTCAGGAGGAGACTAAGGCAATTCTGGCAGCGCAGATGGAGCTGGAGGCTGCGGCGGCGGCAGCGGCGGCGGCTGGCCCCGCGGGGGCGAACGACATTGATACAGACGACGACGCAGACCCCGTGCAGGTGCGCAGGGAGAAGGGTGTGGGTGGCGTAATAGCTGGGCTAGAAGGCAGAAGGAGAACCCCGCCGGCGCAGACTTATTAGCAGAGGGGGGAATGGGAGAAAGGGATGGGGTCCCTGGAGGGGAGGAATGGTGGCTGCGTTTTCCTTGCTCGTGTAGTTGATAATAGATTCCAACGTATTTTTTGCAGCGTAATACAGCTTTTTTGCAAGTGTAATTGCATTTGCGCCTGCTGCCTTCCCGGCGGCCTCTCTCTCTTGAACGTCAGGCGTACGAGGCGTGGAAAGCGCGAGAGCTGCGGCGGATTAAGCGGTGAGCACAGAAAACGGGGAGGGACGTGGGGCGATAGTGGTCAAACCTTTTCCTAGTTTTGTTTTCCTGTCCCTCCTCTTGAATACTTGGATCCCTCTTCCTCCTGGTCAATGTGCTGTTTCCCCCGCTCCGTGCCCTCCTTAGTTGTATCCTCCTTGCCCCGTCTCATCTGGACCTGTCCTCCTAATGGGTTTTATGTCCTTAGCGGCTTATGTCCTTAGCGGCTGCTCACCTCAAACCAGCCCCCTCTCTCTCCATACGCCTCTCCCGCGTTTCCTTCCCTCATGGACTTAGTAATCTCCCCAAAACTACATTCAATTATACCGCCTACCTCCTCCTTCATCTTGAGGGAGCTTGTCAAGCCCTGACCTGCTGTGTGGCTTCTACTACAACCGACCCGGCATTGCGTTGTGATTGCTCCCTCCCCCTCAGGGACCGCGAGGAGCGCGAGGCGGCGGAGCGGGAGGCGGCTGAGAAAGAGCGACTCAAGAACATGACGGAGGAGGAGCGGGCGGCCTGGGAAAAGGCGAACCCCAAGGTGGATGGGTGTGGGAATGGGAAGGGGGAGACGGAGTGGGAGAGGAATGTGGAGTAAGGGCGAGAGAAGGGGATGGGAGGGGGAGTGAGGAATGGCGACGTCGTGGGCCATGTCCTGATGGGATGGTGAAGAGCGGGAGAGGGCGTCGTTCGCTTTGCGTTTCTCTTCGCGTTTTTGCTGATGAGAGATCCTTGCCTCTTGAGATTTGGAAGGGTTGCTCCAAAACCGCTTCCTTATCCCAAACCCTTTCGTCGTGGCCGTCGCCCTCCTTGCTGTGTGTCTGTGTATTACGTTCCTGTCAGGTCGCACGGGCGACCTCCCCCAAGGCCAAGTGGAACTTCCTCCAGAAGTACTGGCACAAGGGGGCATACTTCCAGGTAAGCGAGTGAGGCACTGTGCATAGTGTGAACTGGTGTACCCAGCTGCATTTATGCATTCAGGACCGGGACACCAATGTGTGTGTGGTGTGTGTGTGTGTGCTTGTGTGTGTTTGTGGGCTAGGCATTACCACAGCGAGATTGGACAGGCCAGGTTGCATGGGGCTGCTCCGAGCCCTAAATCCCATCCACTCCAGTCCCGCTTCCCTTCGGACTCCAGCAGCTGACGTGCTTTGGACGTCGACAGTTGGCCCTTTGCTTTCTACATATGATCCACCACTTTTTCCTCTATTAACCCGCCTTTCCCCACGCTCCCATCCCACCAAACTTCCCATATCTGACTTTCTGGCCCTGCTACCCGGCCCGGCCCAACCCGTCACACCCACGCTGACTGCAGGAGGCTCCCGACGACACTCGCGGCACCGCCGGTACCGACGACATCTTCAGACGCGACTTCTCCGCCCCCACCGGCATAGACAAGTTCGACAAGAGCATATTGCCCAAGGTCATGCAGGTCAAGAACTTTGGTCGCAGTGGTCGAACCAAGTGGACCCACCTGTTGGCGGAGGATACCACACAGGTGGGTGGGGGGTGATTTGCAGGTAGCTTGGGGGGTTAGGAGCGGAGGAACAGAGAAACGGGGTCCAAACCGGGTCCTTTCTGACGTTGCGCGGTGTGTGGCGGGGTGGGGTCTGGGTTACGGATCAAAATGAGTACGACAGGTTCTCGGGGTGTCGGACCCAGTCGCCCAGGTAGGAACCTGTTCCCTTACCCTCCCGCCCCTCTCCGGCCTTTCCGTCTGGATATGGTCATCAGGTGGAGGACGACCTGTATTCAGCTGTCAAGGACTCTATTGTGCGACGCCGCAACGAGGCTCTAGCGGGAGCGCAGGTGTTCACCAAGCCAAAGAAGTTCAAGCGGTGAAGAGGAGAACGGTTCCCTTCTCGCTCTCTCTTATCTTTTCCTCGCGGCGACCGTGTACGTGCCGTCGTCTTTTCCGCGTTGCTTTGTTCTGGGTCGCTTTCGTCTTTTTACGTTGTCGCCATCGTCGGTTCTTTATGTTATGTTGATGTTGTTACAGGGTGGTTAAGCTTCACCAGTGGCCTCCTTCCCGAGGCAATTCCCTGCTCTCCCCTGCTAGAGGGGCACCCTAATCCATTCACCCCATCCGACTTCAGTTATGTTGTTTTCCGAACCCAGTGCAGGACACGCCATACCGCATTTGAAGTGTTCCCGCTAGCTAATAGCTGCTTGAGGGATTATCAATACAGCGGATTGCAATGGGTCACCTCCTCCACATGTACTAGGCTAGGGGTTTGCCGACATGCATATTGGCATCATGGCAGGTGGCTGGCAGAAATGAAGGCCTGACTTCTGCTCCCGGAGGTTCCGGGTTCAAATCCGCCTGCCGAACCTCGTGGTGTGGGGGTAATTGAATTGGGAGGTGGCCCCATCTTGTGGACGGTGTAGGACATGATTATAGCAATTTGCGAGCTGACCAGGAACTAAGTTGATGCGCCGTTGATCCGCTAGATTTGGTTGGATGCTGGTGGTGAGTTGCTGAACCCAACGAATACATTCTGAAGCCGGATGGGGTGATTGGATTAGGGTGCCCCTCTAGCAGGGGAGAGCAGGGCATTGCCTCGGGAAGGAGGCCACTGGTGAAGGTATACCACCCTGTAACATCATATTGCGGGGCACACCGGTAAACGCTTCCTTCGACGCAAACCCCGTGGGGGTTCTGGAAGCCTTAACCACTGCGGTTACTGCTGTCGTTGGCCGGACAAAGATTGACCATGCCGCGTCCACCGAAGGAAAGTCTTACCAGCGGAAAGGGTGTAAACAGCAGTGTTGGTTGTGGGGTGCTGCGGCGGTGGTGTTTGGCCCAGTGCGTTCATGCCGTTAGAGTTGGTCGGGGTTTGGCTGCTCCGTGCGGCGTGTACAAGGCGATGTGTGTTGGTAACTGCGTTATGGAGTCGTATGCACCTGTGTTGTGGGGGTATTCGGTAAGGTATTCGGGTCTTTCTGATTCACGACCACGGCATTTTGTACATGTCCTCAACCCAGATCAAATGAAGCTGAAGCCGGGGGAAGTGAGTGCGAGGGAAAGGGAGCGGTGAACAAAAGGGACCGGCGAAATGTTTTTCCAATCTAAGAGACGGGGATCGAGGGGAGAGTGGGATAGGGAGAGAGGGATACGCATCGTGTGAGCGTTAAGGCCTCTCTGTGAGGCGTTAGGGATGGCGGTGACACCCGCTTAAGTGGTGGAGTCGAGGGTTGGTAGGATTGGATATTCCTCGGCGTCGCCTATACTGTTATCCCGGGGACCAAGGATGAGTATAGGCAGCTGGCAAGCCCCGAGCGCTGGTATCTGTAACACTCGACTTATGTAAAGGTGGCGTGATTTAGCAGAGGTAGAGGGCGTTGCAAATGCAAGTGGAGCCAAAGACGCTACGATCTGAAGTAGAGGTCATGATAAAGAGCGATCAATATGTATTTTTGGCTTGGAATTCAGGATTGTGAATGGCTTGCCTCAACCTATGCAAAAGATCTGTCGGGCACCTTGAACAGCTGGCCAATGGAGAAGCATTTTTGGCTTAAAAGGAGGCTTCAACTGTTACAGAAAACTAACACCGCCGAGATTGATGTGATTGGCCGCGAAAGGGCGTGAAATGTAGAACGTAATTGCTTACGGTTTCCTGTGCCACGACGTTTCCTATGCCACCACGAAAGGATGAGGTCCATGTAATCAAAGACAGTACCGTCCTTACCAAGCTGCAGATCGCATATGTATAGTCGTCTCCGAATGACGTCTCGTACACCTGTGCAGTTTTTGCCGCCGCCATAAGTATCGTCTGAGACTCACAATCGGTCCCTTTCCTTAAAGCTCCACCAATCTTTTCTATACCATCCTGTTTTCAAATGGCTGACGCTAAGGCTGCCAAGAAGGAGGGTGGCAAGAAGGGCGTGGACATCAGTGGTAGGTCGCAGTCCGAACTGTAGATTGAAAAGAAAGGATACGCGAACTTAGGATTCATTACGATTATGACTCTATTTCTTCTCCTTTCGAAGGAAATACGTAGCTCAGATTAGTTCTGTATACTGTAGCGGATATGTTTACGCCTTTCGGCGCTTTTAACTTTCCTTGCACACTTGGTGCAGGTATGTCGGACATGGGCGGTGTGAAGTTCTTCAACGTCACTCTCGAGAGCGCCAACGGCGACCTTGAGCTTGCGAGCGTTGCTCTGGAGGGCATGAACGCCCCCGTCGACGAGGCCGCTGAGGAGCGCAAGGGCGGCGCTGGTCACCTAGGCAAGATGCTTTTGTCTGCTGGTGACAAGACCGTGGCTCTGGTTTGCAACATCCCCAAGGAGTTGGGGGAGTCCTACCCGCACGTCAAGGCCGCTGACTGGGTAGAGAAGCTCATCCAGGCAGCCGGCGGCAAGGTTGCAAAGCGCGAGGAGTCGGACGAGGTCATTAAGGTATTGATTGAGGGCGACACGGAGAACGGCCTCTTCCCATTGAAGATGCGTGACGCCGCGTCCAGCGCTGGCTTCGCCTTCCTGCGTGAGAATGGCCTTCTCCCAGCGGACGACTCTGATGACGACTACATCCCTGACCCCGAGGCGGCTGGCATTGAGTGGTAGTTGGTGGATAGTAGTTGGTAAGGGTTGTGCAAAGGAGCGAACCGCGTTGGGCCTGGGCTTGTTCACGATGGAGGGGTAATTAGAGGCTTGGGCGTCTTGCTGACTGGTACCCAGCGCCTATCACCAATTCTCACCCTCTAGCAATTTAGCAGTTAAACGTACATGGCTAAGTAGAGAGGTTAGCATTTACCTCTCTACCTGGGTTTCAACGTATGGCAGGATTAAGTGCGGAGCATGGCGCGTTCGGCCAGCGGCCAGCAGGATGGTGGCATCGTAATATTCATTTACCTGCAGCAGGCCTGCTATCTAAGGTCCGTGTCCTGACTCCTTATCATGCCGCGCTTGAGCTGGTATACGGCAGGTCGTCTTGCTGCTGCTTAGTGGTTGCGAACTTTTGGCGCCAACAGTGACGGAGTAGTCTGTAAGGCATTCGAGAGGCTGGTTACGTGAGTGTCACTGGTTACAGTCTCACAGACTTCCAGAAAACATGACGAATGTAGGGCATCAGCTCAAGGCTTATTTGCATCGCACAACAATGAACAGTCCACAGAATCATGCTGAGAGGAATACATCCCACATGAGCAGGTAATCACAAGTACAACGCTGGGGAAAAATGCTGCCAGTCTGAACCGGAGCCTGACGGTTTTGAGCAGCGGTCATGTATTACGAAAAGTGGGGAGCACATGACAGCACAAGCATGTGTATTCTATATTCACATGCCTCAATCTTCTGAGTTCAAGATGTTGGTCTAATGTATGTCACGGATTGCGTTAACGGACGGCGGTCTAAATGTGTTACAGCCGCCGCTCTAAAATATATCAGCCGGAGTTGAAAGACCTCAGTTGTACACGGCTCAAGCGTACATCGCGCTCACAGGTACAAAACGTCACGACAATGGCCGTGCCTTAGTGCATTGTTATCGGTGTCTTCTTGGTGCGGCCTATAAAGGCTACCATCACCTCGCTGCTCACCCCGGCAAAGGGTGCAAATTCCCATGGAAGCCTAGCGAATGCGTTTTGCTATCCATCAAGCATATAACTAACAATTACGATTATGCATGTTTGCCTTGAGTCTTAAATCACGTACAGTCATTCAGCAAAGACGAAAAATCAAGTGTGCTCCATTAAACCACTTTTCCCGCGCTTTTATCACACGCGGCGTAACTGCACGACCGACAGCCCATGTCACGAACCCGAGCAAAAGGCACCACCATGACCTGACAACATCATGTGACCAACGACAGCCTTAAGGGCCCCCCTCCAATCTTTGTCACCAGGCGCTGTGTCGCACCGCGAATGAAGCATGGCCTGAAGCAAACTGAGGCCTGGTAGCACCCGAGTACCGTCCCCCAGACACGTCGTGCAAACTGAGTTGTATCCTCTCAACGGAGATGCACACCATAGTACCGCCTCCCCCGCTCCCCAACGGGACCGCATGTGCAGGCACCGGAGGCTGAGCGTGCCCAACGCGGCGTAGAGTCACCCGGAGAGCTGAAAACACAGTATGGCTACCTGGTCCCCCCATTGAGATACAGGAACTCCACCCCCGTCAGATTTTAACACGGCTCCCTTTTCCACGTCGCGCAGTGCTGTCATTTCCAGCCGCCCGTTGGCCGGCTGGATGTAGGAGGCTTGCTCACTGCTCGATTGCCAGGCGACTCTACAAGCATGATTGACGACGATAACGACAGGCCTGGCAGACTGCTTGCACTCCCATACACGCCCCCAGCGCGACTCGTGATTGGCCGGTTGGCAGGTTTACCCGCCGGCGCCGTAACCCGGCGGGAAGCCGCAGCCATTGGCACAACCCCTGCGCTGCTAGTGCTGCTTCCGCTAGCGCTATGCCGGCTGCTCGGTCGGGCTGACATGCTTCCTGAAATCGTCGTTGCTGAAGCGGACTTGATGGAAGCCGTGTCAAGCCTGTCACTTCGGCAAAGAAGTTGGGGATCCAATGCGGAAGGAACAAGGGAGCGGATAAGGCCGGTATGCAATATGTCGTTGAACAGGGGGCCAATGATACGCCTGGCATGTCAATAGCTGGCTAGGTAGAGATTGTTGGTGATAATCCATGATGGCACAAGCAGCTATATGCACAGACAGACATGCAAATCGCATGTTTGATTGCATTAAGTTCACAGCACTGAGCACTTGGATGGCTCTGCAAAGCACGAGCAGTTAAGAGGATTTATACAGTTATTCAGTGCCACAGATAGCGTAAGGAAATCACGTACAGCGGCGGTGGCCTACATACTTTGGAATGGCTGGCGGCAAGTTCCGTCCTGACAGTGCAACACCCAGCCTCGCAGTGGACTGCGTCCCGGTTGTGGAGGACGCGCCTTGCTGCTGCTGGCCCCTGTTGCCGCGTGTTGAGTTGAGAGGCGCAATCTTGTCCTGAAATTCCGCCAGGCGAGTCGATGCTAACGCTTGCCCTGCAGGTTCTGCGGGCTGTGATGAGGATGCCAGAGGCCCGCTGGCCCGCGGCGTTCCCCCAGCCACCGCGCGCGGCACGCCGGTAAGGGCCAGCGGCGCTGGTGAGCGCAGCGGTTGAGAGCGCGGCGTCTGAGAAGGCGGCAGGAGGTCGTGCGACTGGCGGAAGGATTGGGGACATGGAAAGGATGTGCACAGAGGATCAAGTGAACTGCCCAGGGAAAGGGCTGACTGGTTGGAATGCGGCGGATTGAGTTTCGTCAACCAGGCATTGTCCTAGAGTGGACACTTTGCATGTAGCACGTTGCGTTAGTATAGAGAGTGGCAGAACCCCTTTCAGCTTCTTTCGGTTGCCGTTCACATATATACACCCACTTGCCTGCCCGCCTGCCTGCCCACGGCTTACCGGCGTCGCTGTACCCATGGCCTGATTGAAGCGCGGTGTAGCGTTCGACCGACTGGATGGCCGGATTTGGCTGACCGGCGTTGATGCGGCTGAGTCTGCAGAAAATGGCGTTGCCGACGTGCGACAGGTCTCCGTTCGCGGAGGAACGGCAGGAGGAATGGTCCCGACTCCCAGCATCGCCAGCCGCATCTGTCGCCAGTCGAGGGATGGCCCAGCGGCAGAAAATGGCGTCATTAAGCGATAAAAAAATAGAAGGGAAACAGAAACTTGCAAGAGTGCATTTATTATCGCATCATGGTGGCAGCAAAGTGGTCAAGGACTGCTGCAACAAGTGGCACATCGCAAGTCGTCCTCGTCACTATGCTAGGGCCCGCCAGCGGCATAAGGGGAGACTCGTATTTAACCGTCGCCTGGTCACTTTGCTCACGCAACATGCCAATGGAATCGCCGTCGGGCCAGCTATGCCCATTTTTCGAGTTCAGCAACGTACCCGTAAGCCTTGCGCAGCGTTGGCTTCCTCGTGCAATTGTCGCTGCAGCACCTGTTCACGTTCACGGGCGGTCTGAAGCTGGTCCTTGAGGTCTGCGATGGCCTTCTCCCTCTTGGCGAGGGCCTCGTGCGCCTCGAACACCTTCCCGCTCTCGACGTTGCACTTAGCCTAGGGGCCGTCAAGTTCCAGAAACAACGGCAATAGAAACAGCATCTTAGATACACTTCTTACAGCAACGGATGGTGACGTATCATACAGCGTTTATCTGCTTGCCAGGGCGAGCTGACCTTGCAGGGGTCACTGCGCTTCAGAGCCGGACAATTCACAAAAATGAAGCCGGGTTTTTTGAGGAGGTTTCCGCTCCGGACCAAGCGCCTGCGCTGTGGTGATGGCTACACGTAAGGAAATGAAGCTGCGCAGGTTTAAAAGCGCTCCTCAACCGGCCTTGCCAAACGAGTTGACCTGCTATACATACAACTATTACGATGGCTGTCCCCATTAAGTTCCTTTGTCCCTCTTTCGAAGGCTTACCAAAGGGGACGGGAAGCCAGTTCTTAAGAGGATTATAGTGAAATTCTCCCTCAGATTCCAAACATCCCTTAGCGTGCCCTGCCGGGCCATGACCAAAGCCATCCGTTGGCAAAAAATGAGCCACGAATCACACGCGTGAAGATCTCCGTTAGACCCTTCCCTCTGCTTGAGTTTGTTTCTTTCCCATGGAAATTCACCCCGTACCGGCCCTGCACCTGCCGTGTCCTCACCTGGCCCAACGTCACGGACGCCACCCGGTTGCCAAAGTTTAGCGTGGAGATGGTCTCACCGAAGCTGGTGCTCTCCGGCGCAACGTGCATCAGCATGCAGACCTTGGCCTGGCCGGACAAGCTGTCGGCCAAAAGCTCCGTGAGCTTGCTGTTGCGGAAGGGGATGTGCTTGGACTTAGAGGCCAGGCTGTGCATGACCGTGCCGAGTGCCGACAGACTTGTGTTGATAGAGTTCGCCTCGCGCATTCGTTCTCCTATTAGGCAGGGAAGACAGGGTGAGGTAATAGAACACGCCTGGACAAGGGCATGAATGAGAAGGTGGACGAAGGCATCTGCGCGCGCGTTCGTGGCGTGGCAGAATTTCCAATTGAGCAAGCGTGTAACAACAATCAATGTGAAGGATGCACATCCTCAAGCCGCCGCCCAGCTGCCCTCAGTTTCGCATAAGACATGCAACACCCTCAACCGGCCAACCCGGTATTATTATCTCCGAGGAAAAGTACAAAGCACTCTTCCGTCCTTCCTCCTCCCCCCCTGACCCTTCGAGGGTTGAACTGCCGGTCCGGAAGGAACGAAGAGAAAGCAGCAGATAGCCGTGCTGTGAACATGCTCAGCAGCCCCATTGGCAGTCTGTTCGACAGCCGTGACAGACACTCCCGAACGACCAATCGAACCACAGACCGAACCAACCTTCCACGCCCGACTTGTCAGTGCGCTCGCTGCCCGCCAGATCCACCAAATGAAGGCACGCGTGTGTGCGTGCCCCCGTGGTCAGGTTGGCACCGTCCACGATGATGGTGAGCACCTGGTGGCTGCGGCTGCTGCGCTCGTTCATCTTGGTTTCAGCGCTGTGGCGGTTGCGTGCGCCCACGCGCATCATCGCCAGCACATCGGCAGTGTTGGCGACGGCGATTTGGGTCGCACCCGGCACGTTGAGACCCGACGGCTGCGTGGAAAGGATGTCCAGCCTGTTACCGCCGCTCTGATCCTCCGTCAGAAGGTCGCGAATCGTCTCATTGTAGATCTCCAGCATTTGCGCCGTAATAGTGTAGGACGTCTGCGTATGAGCATGCGTTTCATGTAAACCCCGAGGACATTCCTTCCTTTGGCTAATTTAACTCTCTCTTCGCGAGTTACAGACATGATGTGAGTTTGTGTATGTATGCATGCAGGCTTACTTCCCAAGGGGGGAAGGTGTAGAGATGGCTGAGATGGCTGCGTACTAGAGCATTGTGTGTGGGGCGGAAACAGCTAGCATGGAATTCAGAATTTCTCGAGGCTGTGGGTCATAGTTGCGAGCTGAAACTCTCCCTGAGCCTAGTAAGCGCCTCCTGTATCTGTCTGAAAAACAAATTTACAGGTATGGGTTTGCTTCGCCACCATAGACAGGTCAAGAGCCCGTGGGCCTCGTCTCACCGACTGAAACCATCCCGAAGGACTTTGGCCACACAAAGCCTTACCTCCGCATCGCGATGGGCCTGCATCGCGAAAAGGTCGTCCAAGGCGCGGTAGTTAATGCCGCGGCTCCGAACGTCATCCTCCACGTGGCTGCTTCCCGTCATAGTATGCGTCTTTCCACTGCCGGTTTGACCGTACGCGAAGATACACACATTGTAGCCTGGCGGCAGAAAAGCAGGATACATACAAGCGAACTTGAGTTTCAGGACAAGGGACGCACAGGTTATAGCGTCACGGCGATGATCGCTGCAGGAAAGCGTCCGTGCCCATTCCATTAAGCATTTAAACCAAACAGTCCAATCGTATGAAATGGCAGCGACATGTCGGGCTCCCAGGGCTGCGGAACAGGAAGCTCTCTATCCCGGGCGCTCACAGCTCCCACGACATCCCGTCCTCCTACATACCATCACAAAACCCATTTTCGGCTTCGTTCATGGCATGAAGCGTTCACCCTTTGCTCGCCACGTTTATCTCCCTGGTGAACCCCTCCAAGTGCGCACCACTTCCATTACGGGACAGGAATGCATATATGACGCCTACTATCGCGGTGTGTTGACCGCAATTTGTGAACTGGTGTCCTGTTCCCAATGTTAAAACATCTCCCGAGCCCTCAGCAGCCTTTATTTGAGCGCACCATCCATGACACTGCGGATGAGCGCCTGGACGTCCTCGTAGACCTCCTCCTGCGTGCTCTCGCCGTCGAACACCCGGTCAAAGCTGGTGGTTGGGGGATACAGAACAGGGAGCCGCGAGCTCAAGACACCGAACCCAGGTAAGCTTAAATGTGCAGCGGGGAAGGAAAACGCAGCCCATGTGCTGGTGCGAGGACATCTCGTCAGGAGTTATCGGGAAGGAGATACTGAAAAGTTCCAAGCTAGAAAAACGCCATGGACTGCCAGGTTATCTCGAGATCATCCAGTCAAGCACATTCCACAGGAACCCGTTCGAAGCCAGCCAACCAGCCTTTCACTACCACTGAAAGACTAGGCTTCGGCTAAAAGGAGCAAGGAGAGGCGAAACGTGCAGTCGCTTGCGCTATTACTTAGCCCCTGAGCTGCAACAAGGATTACGGCCTTTTTCCTGCGTCGGAAACAGAACCAGCGTTCCTTGTCAAAACGTGCGATACTGCATTGGAACACGCACGGAACAACGGAACAACGCGCGGACGGCACGCTTCGTGGCAAACGACCAACGCAGACAGCTGTAAAAGAGGATTGCCACGCTCCCGGGTGACTACCAGGCAACGCTCTCTCACCGGTACACCTTCCGCTCGCCTGCCTTGTCGTAAACTGCGAGCTCGCCGTCCGTGCCCAGGTTGAGGCAACTGGGTGCCGAGTCACCGGTCGTCCCCGCGGGCCGAACACGGCAAAATACGCGGATGCTGCCCTTCAAGTCCTGTGCATTCGCAAATACCCGGGAGTATAAACATGAGAGCCCATCGGGTGCGCTCGGTACGCCTGTCCGTTACCCAATTCAAGAGGAGAATCCAACTCCTTGCAACGAGCGCTACTCGCTGCCCACAAAGCTTTAATCCGGCAAGACACATCCACTCGCGCTCACGCCTTACTCCTAACCATAGTCGCTTATCGCCGTCGTTGCTGCCCTTCTGGAAATGGCCCACCAGCAGACCTGGATAGTGTTGTACAGTTTCTTGTTCTCCTCGCGAATATGATTAAAGCGCTGCTGCAGCAGCTCAAACTCCTGCACCTTCGCCATCATCTCCTCCAGTTGCGCCTGCAGTGCAGCCTCTTTTGCGCTGCGCTCGCCGTCTCGACAGTTGAGCGCTGCCTCTGCATTCGCCAGCGCCTCTGCTTGCCGCAAAATGACCATCCGCGCTTCCGCCAGTTCGTCCTCCAGCTTTCGCAACCGTTGCTGCGCCTCCTGCGCCAGCGTCTCCATTTCCTGCTGCTTCTCCGCGTCCAGTCGCCCAGCAATGTTGTCGAGCTGCATTTGCAGCCCCTCCACCTGCTTCTGGAACTGCCGCAGGGACTCCTTGCTGGCATTTAGTTCCTGGTCTTTGGCCAGGAGCCGGCGCTCGTACTCGACGCTGAGCCCATTGAGGAACTGCGAGCCCGAGAAGCAACGCCGTGCGTAGACATGGGGACACGCGGACAATGTGGTTAAATTTAGGTATAGTACGGAAGCACGCAAAAGACGTGCGTAGACTGCTCCTCATGTTCTCCAAGGGAAGGCCTTGGGGGAGGGAACGGATGGTCGGGCACGCTACGAACCCTCAGAACCCCAACCCCATGCATTACACTGTATTGCCGAATCGCGGTGCAGCTTATGTTTCGATAATGGCGTGTTTCATAACTTGACGGGCAACAGCTCAGCTTTCCAAGCCGGGAGGCAAGTCCCATCGTCCACATACCTGCTCCATAACGTTGGTCAGTATCGTGTCGTACTTCGGCGACTGCATGCCAGGCGTCATACGCGAAATGAGGCTCTGCGACATGTCATTGTACAGCGCTGAAAGGTTCGCATTCGTCTGAGTCGAGGCAAGCGTGCGGGACCCCGTGGGCATCACCAATCCCATGTGCGCCTGCTGCTGTTTTTGATGCTGCTGGGAGAGCGCCGTCATGAGATCGACGGACGTCTGCCCCTTCCGTGGGCTGTCGCGCATGGCGCGGATGTCGCTGGACTCGCGGAGCATGAACGCGAAGGGCGCTTGCAAAGGTTCCCCGATACTGTGAACTTTCCGAAGCCACAGCAGACAGTCAACAATACGCGTCCGATCGTCATAGTCCTCGCTTAGGAGGTCCTGGACGGAGAACTTTGCCTCGCTGGGGCACTGCATTTTATCGCTGATGTATGTCAGGAAAGCCTGCACGTTCGCGAGCCCCGCCTCGGCCCCGTCCTCGATCTGCATAGACAGATTGAATAATGACGGTCCACATGGGGCATGGCAGCTTCAGAAGGCCGCTCTTACCTGGACGGCATTCGGCCGAATCTTGTTGAGCGTTTCGCAGAGAATAATTCCATCTCTCAACGCCTGCCGAAAGTTCAAATCGTTGCTGTATGGCACGTCCAGGCCTGTGCACTGCTTGATGAAATCTGCTGCGGCTCTCCGCTTGTTGACCTCCGTGTTCGGGGTCTGGGCGCCACTATTTAGCGACTTCCGAACCGCCGAGGAAGCATCAGGTGACTTGCGCTGTCCATCCTGCGTCGTCGTCATGGGCACAGGAGTCAACTTGCTGGTGTTGTCTTCTTTCAGATGCCCAAGCATTCCCACCCTACTCCACACGGAGCCCATCCGCGGACTGCCCCCATGATGCTGTGGGGATGTAGATTCAGCTATGGATAGTGAAAGGTCCATACTAAGCAAGTCCTGCTGAATCAATGGGCGACAGATGTCAAAGGAGCTCAGTGCTGCCGAGGCGCAGCAGGGTTTGGTCTGTCATGTGAATAACATGTTTAACGATGGACTATGCTATGCGCTGGTTCGTCATTCCGGTGTCCCTCTGGCGTGCCTCTGGACAGCTTGTTTCGAATCGTGTACGGCATGATTGCAGCCCCCAAGACCCAAGGTCTCAGCTTTGGCAAGCTTTGTTTTATAGAAAAGCTGATAGTTATATGTAGTCATTCAAGATATGTTTCGCTTCAAGTTTTCAAAGTCAGTAAGGGATAAAAAACAAGGTGATTATTCTTTGGGTAGTCACTACACCCCAGTTATGGGAGTAAAGTGCAGGATTATTACGTGCATTAAATTGCAGTGCTGTTTGTTCCCGCTGTGGATGCATGCTACATTCTAATTGAGATTCTCGCAATAGTTTCCGCCATGCAACATACTGGGCATTGCAGCTCATTGCAGACTCCTAACACTGTTAGACATAATTTATACAAGTATCGGATGGTTCTGATAGGTTTTCGGGGATTTGCAGCGTTTTGTTATGTGTTTCTCGTTCGGAGACCCTACCTGGTGGAGGATGGAAGATGGAGAGGTACACACGTAGGACCTGTACGCAGAATTCGTGGAAGATACATCCGAGGATCTCGGACCAACGAAGCCACTCACGTACACATAAGCTGACCTGTTTCGCACCCTGGTACGCACCGACCAACAGGAACTAAAGCAGTGAGAGCATGCGCACCTGTCAGCACATGGCATCCCACCCGGCATAGAAGGACGCGTATTAGGACCGAGGTCTTCCACAGCATCGCAGTTGCAATCCCATGACAGATCATGCCTGCGGCGATGCGTACGGTTGGAGAAGGAGGGGCAAATGATGCCGTATCCCTGCCATACGTAATCGTACTACCCAGACCAGTTTTGCCGGAAGTAGACCTACGCTCTTCTAGGCGTTCATAATCACTACAGACTTATGCTATGGACGATTCAGTTTACGGAGAGAGGGAGAGAACGTCAATTTCCAGGGAATGCGGCAGGCACAAAACTTGGGCATAGCCGGCATACATATACTCGCGCGCCTGTGCAGCCGCCCTTTCCCTCTGTTGGGGCCTTGAGAGGGGACGGCCAGGTTCCGACCACGTCGGAGGTGGGTTCCGTATAGGAGAGGGAAAATCTCACATTTGGCCATATGTGCGCGAGCCTCAACTTGCGGGGTGGGTATCACTGAAGCTCCGGTTCAAGGCGTGAGGCTTTGGGCCCTGCCATCTCATTACATTTCTGGGCGATTCCTCCTCGTCGCCGCGTCCGTTCCATGCACACTACCACAGAGATGGCCCCACCAAGGCCAACGAGGGACAAACGAGCGGACGTCACGGCCGTATTATATAGGCCGTATTATCCATCCCATTATCTGAGTTTGGAAGGACGGTGCGCGTGCCGTTTCGCTTTGGCTATTCCCATGCTTCTGATGCTACACACAGCCACATGTTATTTGATTTTATTGGTCGATCTGATTGGGATATGTGCTAAGCCCTGACATTACTGTATCTTACGTTACTTGTGTTCAGCCGCGGCTTGCTGTTGGCCTGAGAGTTGCTTCTCTAAAGAACCTAAGCGTTCTGCCGCTTCTTGGGGGGGGCCCTACAGGCTACTTCCCTCTTGAGTAGTGGGCGGCAAAGGCATCCCATACAGGTCTCTCAAGCTTCGGGATGAGCTATATTGCTATGAGCTATTCAAGGTGTGCGTTTCCGTCTTAGGACTCCAATGCAGTGCACGGTCCGTTGTGGCCCGTTGGCCCTACCTTGTGGTATTCTCTTGGGGTATGGGGCTCGCTGTAATACCTACTATTACTTACCTGCATATCCGACATGAGTACGACTGAGTACAGACCGAATTTGATGAGCAAGGAGGAGCAAGGAGTAAATAGCGCGCAACTTGAAGTATTTGGCATTTGTACGTGCGTGCAGATGCGGGATGGGGTACATGTAAGGCTGGGAGGGGTTCCATGCTTGCATGTAAGACTTGCTTTGCAGTCCCGAGGACGATGAAGATCAATGAAGATCGCCTAAGGAAGCTCTGGCTTTTCTTTTGCAGAACTTATGCCAGGAACGTGGCACCTTAAGTACGCCATGCGAGGCTGTTCTAGAGGGAGCAAAGGAAAGGAAATCTATAGGCTGCCCGTGCGGCACGCTCGTACCGTGTACTCCGCCGTGAAATTGCGCAGCTGCCAATTGAGTTAATATAATATGCAGGGGGAATTTGATTTGGCTATCTCTACTTTAGCCCCTTAGCGCGGATATGTCCAGGAATGTCTGCCGTTTAATCGCAGCACGCATTGCACGCAACCTCATGTTCTGGAATCAGCGCTCCTTGGTAGCTACTGATTATGATTAGCTTATAAAATATCAATGCCAAACTGTTCTGGGGTTAACTTCAAATCCTTTCATGCACCATAAGGACTACCCCAAACTTCCCTCACCAAGTGTTAAAATGCTTAAACGCTTTAAAAAATTAAATTTAACATACAACTAAAACCCCAGCAATGGATCAACTCTTTTGTAGTAAGCACGCAACTTCAAAGCTATTGCTCAGATTGGAGAATAGGTTCCAGCCACGATAAGTTCGTGTATACTAGTATGATTAGCCTACAACATCATACAACATGGGGGATCCAGCTGTTGGCGGTCATGAGCATTGCTGTACTTGCGCCACGACCGGGACTTGCATTACCTTGCGCGGCGAATTGCACAAAGTACGGAACTTGTAACTTGGAGCTGGGCAGGTATGGATCTTGGCGCACATCGGTCACAATGTACGGCTTTCCTGTCGCACGCACGGCCAGTAGCTACTTCCCTGGTGCCCGGTCGCGACAGGTGCGACTGTCCTAGGAACCTTACCGGGCCGATCTGCGACCAGCCCGTAAGGAACATAGTGAGGAAGTGCGGCTTTCTGGGCTTCTTCACTGTCGAGGATTGCCTGGCGGAGTATCCGTTGCGGTGTATGAATGCCTGCAATAAACGAGGCAGATGCATCAATGGCTGGTGCCACTGCTATGAAGGTGCGTCGTGGTGTGTGGCTTGGCTCTCAAAACCCGAAGAGACCCGGGCCTCACACGCTACCTTATCCCTCCCCTCCCCTTCCCCCCTTGTATCCATGACTCCATCACTACAGCTGCACTCCCCTCTCCCGCCCCCGTTCCGCCCTACGAACATTCGCCCGAACAGCTTGGGGCCTTTTCTGCTCGATCACATGGACCCAGCCCTACGCGCCTTGCACTGTGCAAGTTCCATGAGCTGTATAGCCCACATGCGTCCCAGTGTACCGTACCTGCATATGTTTGCGTATAATGCTGCATGCGCACCTGGCGGTGTGGCTCGTGCTTCCGTCTGCCTCTGTCTGCCAATGGGAATGACGCCGTTGGCTCTCCGTTCCCCTGCTCGCCCCTTCCCTGGAGATCCATCCGCTTGGGCCTCGGCGTCCACCGTGTTACATGGATGGCACACACGCAGCGCACGGTTCCACCCTTATCATTCCCTCTTTGTTTGCCAGGGCTTCGGTTCGGCACGCATACGCACCGTGTGCGTTGTGTTGTACGGCGCTTAACTGCACGATTCCGTGAACTGCGGTGAGAGCCGCGCCGGACTTGTAGCTTTCCTCCACTTCCGGTTTCCCTTTTCTTCAATCCTATGTCCCGCTTTCCGACGAAAACCGCCACCGCATCGCGAAAATGCATCCCACGCGTCATGAATCCTATATGAGCCATGACGGTGCTATGCGGTCCTGTGCGCTCTCTTGTTGTGAAGGTTACTACGGGGCTGATTGCTCCTTGTCACTGGACGCCAATGGCAGGTGCGCAAGGGGGTCTTCGGAACACACGTGGAGGTAGGATTTGAGGGTGGGTGGGTGACTGCGCCGGTAGGGAGCGTCAGTACGCTGTAAGTGGGTGAGCAGGTGCATGGAGCTGAGCGGATTGCTGAGTGGGCAGCAGCTGAGTGGGCGGGAAGGGAGGGAGGGAGGGAGGATGCATGAGTGGGTTTTGGGTGAGTGAGGGCGGGTGGGTGGAGGGGTAGTGGGGGGTGAGGGCGTGGGTAGATGGGGTGGGGGATAAGTTGGTGCATGGGTACTCGCCCAATAGCCTGCTTCCTTACCTACCCTGCCTTCCCGCCCGCCTTTTTAATTGAGTGAAGGCCAGAACAGCTCTCTGGACTGGGATTCGTACCCGCACCTGGTGGCCCTAAGATCTACATTTATGAGCTGCCTCCGAAGTTCACCACGCAGTAAGGACTGGAATAGTTTTGAGGGAGAGGTCGGAAAGGGGCTTCGGAAGGGAGGTGGGTGGGGAAAGCGTCGCACCTCAGCGAACGTAAGAATGGCGGTACTAGAGGTACGAGGGAGGTAAGGACCGGAGCGGTGCGGGAAGTGCGATGGAACATGGAAATGACTAATGGTTCCGGAGACTATGGACAGGTGCTCTCGCGGTTTCCCCCGTCTAATCATGGCCCCGACCCAGTCATCACACCACATCAAATCACACAACACAACACAACACAACACATTACACCACATCGCATCACACAACATATCACATCACACAACATCATATTATATCACATCACATCACACAACGCAACACATTACACCAACATCACATTACATCACATCACATCATATTACATCACATCACATCATATCATATTACATCACACATCAAACAGCACAACACAACGCAGCACCCCATTGCACAACACCAGACGGCACAACATCACATTACACAACACAGCATCCATTCAGACTCACGCTGGGCCTACCCCCGGGTTCACTTGTGTCTTCCTTAACCTCACACTGCTTCGTATGTAAAGGTTGGCATTTGGCCCCCACCTCTCCCTCGCTATCTCGAGCTCTTTCCCATTCCACCTTTCCTTCCGCTCCTCTCCCCACCTGCAGTAAGAACTTGGAGAAGTTCGACCGGCCGCTGTACGCGCACATCTGGAAGCGCATCATCAGCTCGGGGCACCGCACCCTTAACGGCGGCGAGGCCGACTATTTCTACATTCCGGTGGATTTCAGGTGGGAGCATCGTCCAGGGGGGTGGGGGGAGGTTGGGCGGAGGGGGGAAAGACGAACCACGAACGAGTGAAGCTGCTGCCAAGGAAAGAGAAGCAGAACTGACCAGTAGGCGGTTTTGAAGGATGATGAAGGAGCCGACCTGGGTATAATGACGACCGCGGAAACCTACCTACATAGCCGCCAAAACTAAAATAAGAGCGGAAGAAAAGCAGTAGAGCGAAGCCGTAAAGAAGTAAAGGTAGGTGTAGAGGCGGCGAAAAAGAACTGATGACGTGAGCTGGAATAAAGTTTGCCGCCGGCCTGGCGGCGGCATTGACGGGGTTGGGCGGAGGGGGGAGGGGTTCCCATCCCCCTTCCTCGTCTAAGAGGATTGAGGAGGAGGTTGCTGGGTGGCGATGGATAGGGCGCTATAAGGGTTGAGATGTTGTGTGAGCCATGCCTGGGGGATATGGGGTATAGGGGTTGGGATGGGCCGCTGCCGCCAGGCTGTGAGGGACTAGGGATGGCATAGAAAATTAACAACTTTCCCGTTTGCTCCTGTTCCTCTTTTGTTTGTGTATGTGTATGTGTGACTGTATGTGTGTCCAGGCACATGTTCTCGGAGGCATTCGAGGTGTTGGAGTACGTGCAAGCGACATGGCCGTTCTGGAATGCGACGGGGGGTGCGAGACACCTCATGCTGAGCACGAGTGAGAGGAGGAGGGAGAGGGATAGAGGGGTAGAGAGGAGAGGAGGGATGGAGGTACCTCTAATGTGCTAAGCCCTCGTCGATTCCGCGTAAGGCGCGTGTTTAGGAATCCTGGCGCTAATGGCGACGGTGGATGGTGGTGGCATGTGAAGTGGGTGCAAGGGGAACGGGTTGGGACGGGTTGGGGAGTGGGGAGTGGGAGTGAGGCCACGGAGAAGACACGGAAAGGACACCTACCATCATCGCCGCGATCACCATTACCATCGCCGCCCCTCCTCTTCACCCTTTTCCTCTCTTCTGTTACCTTCCCTCCCGCACACATGGTGACCTCCCCCCAACCTTCAGTCCTCCACCTCCTCTCCACCTCTACACCCCGGCCTGCACGCCCATACCCCGGGGTCCCCTTGCGCTCCCTGCCGTCTTGCCTGGCCTCCCAAGCCACCCGCACCTTCCCGTGCCCCACCTGAACCCCTACCTTCCACGACATCTCATTCAGCATGACCCCCTTCTTCGGTGCCCATATCTCAGGCGACCTGGGCGGCTGTGAGGGCAAGCAGCTGATGTTGCTCCGGAACCTGACTTCCGCCGCCATCTGGCTGACCCCCTGGGGTCTTACCCGCAAACACCCCCGCGTGTGGTGGCCGGGGTGCCACAGACCCGGACATGACATCGTGATTCCGGTACTGGCTCAAGCCAACAACATGATCATGACGCCACTGAACCCCAAGGTTAGGGGTGTTGGCGGGAAGAGGGGGAAAGGGAAGGGGAATAGGGGGAGGAGGACGGGGGAAAGGAGATGCAGGGGTGGCAGGGGAGAGGTATGCTGTAGTGGAGGGGTTGGTTTGGCCTGCAAGGATTTGGAACAGCCGTGAGGACGAGTGTGTGTGTGTGTATAGAAGGGAGTAACCTGATAAGGGAAACCCAGATATTACCAAGGCGCGAACCCGAAGTTGAGGAACCAAGATTGGGTGCTTGAGGGACGTGTTTTTTGTTGCTGGTGAAACTCCTACTGCAGGTGAAACCCCTGCCGAGAAACACCACCTTCTACTTCGCGGGTGAGTGAATGGTGCTCATGGAAAAGCTTGAGCGCACCTAATCGTAAAGGGGGGATGGGTGGGTAGAAGCCGAAGACAGGCTGAAGGACTGTGAGTGCAGTAGCGAATGGGGGGAGATGCGGAGGAAGGTACGGCTACTGACGCTCCTGTATTTGCTACTGCCGCTCCTGTATTTCATTACGGCTACAGCCTCCTCTCTCCTCCTCCTTGTCCCCTTGTCCCCTCTCCCCTCTGTAATTTCCTTGACCCGCTCCCTTTTTGCAATTCACCTTCCTCCTTTTTTCCCCTTTACCTCCCTCCCCCACTTGAGTCAGTATTGTTCCTTCCCCTCCCTCCAGGAAAGATTTGCGGTGACAACAAGGACCCCAAGGAGGACACCTCGTCATGGCCCATTTGCCAGACACCGAGGAACCCGCTGTACAGCGCAGGTAGAGGGAGGGAGAGAGGGAGGGAGGAAGGAGCGGGACGGAGGGTTAAGGTGTTGTCAGGACGCGTGGGGTTGGGCCCGAATAGGCTACCTGACCCAACGAGGGTGCGGCGGGATGTGGCAACAGGGGGTTGTGGTGGGTGCGATGCGCGGTGCCGCACCCGCAGATCCACAGTCCGACCGCATCAGTCCCACTGCGCCGTTCTTCACGTGTCTTGGCACTGCACCCGCCATCAGGTGTACGGCAGCTGGTGTACTTCTACCACTCCAAGCGCGATGGCTTCGTGGTACGACCCCGTAGCTCGTCGTACGTACGGGACATGTCCACATCCAAGTTCTGTTTGGCGCCCACGGGTGGCGGCCATGGCAAGCGGCAGGTGGGTGGGTGGGGGCTGGGGCGGGGACCGGAGGGTCCTGGATTAGGGTGATGTTGGTTTAAGTGGGGGGGACTGTTTGTTGAGGTGGGTTGTGATCTTGCGTGGTACGGGTTGCAGGGAGGGAGGATGGAGGTTGGCTGGATGGAGGTTGAGGTCGGGTAAAGGGATAACGGACGGTGAGTTGAGTTGGAGTCCAGGCACCCTGGGTAGTAGTGGGCGAGATCGGCTCCCGAGTTGCTGGGCCGATTACCCCGCGCTTCACCTTCCCCCCTTCCCCACACTTTCCGCGGCTCTCAGAGTATTAAAACACGCACGTACACACATGCACACAACCACCCCACCTTGACCTTCCCAGGTGCTGGTGGGGCGCTACGGCTGCATCCCGGTGCCCATCACCGACTATGTGCTACAGCCCTTTGAGCCCGAGCTGGACTGGCCCGCGTTCAGCGTCACAGTCAAGGTGACATGGCATGGGACGACACCTGCTACACACATGGCACATAGAACACTCATTAAAAAGCACACGATGGCGCGTGGCAACTGGGAAACACACATTGACACGATGGCACACATCAAGACACGGCACGGTGTGCGGTACACGGAGCGGCTCAAGACGCGACGCAAGGTGTTCTGTGCGCGGTCGCTGCCACGGCCTTATAATACACGGCCATATGCAGCTCCACGTGCCACTTGAATAGCCGGGGGAGATAGCGCTATCTTCCTCGCCCTGTCCCATCTTCATCAAGATGCCGCTTCCCGGGCACGCGGCCGTCCAGGACCGGGCGTAACCTACCCCCGAACTAAACGGCACGAATCAAAAAGAGACACCAAGGGGGTTCCAGCAGCATGGTTCGTTGTCACTTCTCGGGCTTGCGCCCGGATCGCTGATGGGACTGTCCCGACATCTGTCCCGACACCCCCTCCTTTGATGTGCCTTTGATGATTTTTTCATAAATGGTTTACACCGCAGGAGGAGGATGTGCCCAACCTGCACACCATCCTTGCGGCCATTAACGACACCAAGCTGGCGGAGATGCAGGTGAAACGCCGACAACTACGACATACACACACACATACACACATACACACGGACACATGTACAATCCGTTTTGGCAGCAGTTTTGTCGCACCTAGAAAGCACTCACTTGCACATCAATGTATCCATTGCGAAACACTTACGTTTGGCAGGATTTTGTATGGCACTTGGGGGATGCCGGTTAGCTCCTCGTCTCCCCGTGGGCCCGCGTGTTAGGAACCAGAGATGCAATTGCATATATACATTGCAAACCCAAAGACGTGATAGCAGATACGTGTCGTTATTCGCCTTCCCTTTCCCGGATCGGCAACGCCCGATTGACACCTCCAGCCGTCATCGCTCTGCTAGCGCAGTCACTCTCGCACCGGCGGCGCTGCCATTTTAAAAAAAACTTTTTTCCTTTGGTGTGCAGCAGTAGTAATTACACCACGTAATGCTTATCGCGTGTGTCTGTCGTTATTATCCCTGCGCTGTGCACTGGTGACATTGAACAATGCTACCCCCGAACCACTGTATGATGCGCGGTACACGTCGTTCGGTTCACTCCTGGAATCGCCAGCTACCATCCCAACCGTCTCAACCAACAAACCTCCTACCACCTAACCCGCCCCTACTGCAACCATATGAACCAGTGCCACCGGTACCGATTAACCAGTCCCTTTTAGCCGCGTTAACGACCTTAACCGTCGCAACCCACCAACACTGTGTCAACTACCGCCACCAACCTAAATGTGGTGTACTGGGAACTGCGGTCTGTGCAGAGAGCGCTAGCGTGTGCTGCGAAGCACCTGTGGTACAGCTCCATGTGGGGGGCCATATTTGGAGAGGATAGCCGATATGACGCATTTGCGACACTCATGGAGGTGCGTGAGAGGCTCTCTCGTTCCCGGGGCTGCCTGGAGACATGGTTGTGGCCACGTGTGTGATATGTCGCGGGGCCGTCGTCAGCACAGTGTGGAGCACTTTGGAGGGGGGCCTGTGTGCAGCGGAGGTGCGACCCCTTGTGAGAAGCTAAGAGGGTGAAGAGGAGGCGTCCGCGTTGGTTGTGGCATCAGCCGGTTTCTGCTCCCTCTTTTTACTCCTCTTTACAAAAAATTTACATCAAGCACGTTTTTTGCACGCCGTCCATGTCGCAGCGTGTTTGCCGCTCCGCACACTCTCCCACGCACCCCTCCCTTGATCTCGTGTAAACCCCCCCCCCCCCTGTTTGACGTGTGCACGTGCATGTCTCAGATCCTGAGGGTGCGGTCGCTGTACCCCCACGCCCAGCCCCACGAGTACCGCTCACTGGATGAGAGGTTCCGCCGATTCGCCAACTGCGAGCTGGGTAAGCAGCAGCAGGACATGCAAGGGAGGGATGGATGGCGGATGGGTTGGGGCCCATCAGGTAGGCAGCCGGAGCTCGGTGCCGCGACGCTGGGACGTACACGGTTGGTGGTGGGGTTTGCAGGCACCGGCGCGTTATGCATGTGCTGCTCGTATGTGTTTTGAACTTTGTTGCCGCGATGACGACATGGGGGGTTGCGGTTGAAGTGGGGGTAGAGGGAGTCAAACCTGCACGTTGGGAGTGTGTTCCTGATTAAGGCGAGAGTGTTCGAGAGTGAAATTGGGGCCGAAGGGCGGCAGGTGGAGGCCGTCCTGGTGGGGCCGAAGTCCCCGTGGCCAACAATTTGATCCGCCCACCTTGATCCGTTGTCAAAGTGTGGGATGTGATGCACCCGGCCGCTGATCCCGTAAGTGTCATTGATTGGAGGAGGAGGAGGAGGAGGAGGAGGAGTCCCCTCATTGGCGGTCTTGGTGGCAGCGGCGGGAAGCATTGCTCACAGCAAGTAGTCGGTGGTGGTGATGAAGCATCATGGCATCATCATGTTGCATGGAAGCGAAATAAAGGACGTCGTTCCTGCACATCTGCAGGTCCGATCTCAAGGCTCGCTACACAACGAGTTGGTTGGCTGCCTTGCCCTCCGGCGGTTGCGATGTACCTTTTTGCGTGATGCTTCCCTTTTGTGTATTTCTTCCTACGTTGTTAAAAGTTAAAAGCTTGTGCGTGTGTGTGTGTGCGCCATGGACGTTGTTCTGACTTTTGCCACTTGCCATTTGCCCTTAGCCTTTACCCTTGGCCTTGTCCTGCTTTTTTATACTTGTTTTTTGTTGCCCCCTAGTCTTTGCCAACACAATTGCCCTGTTTTGCCTTTTGATTTGTAATGTGTGTCACAGATAACGAGCCGCCGCAGAGGTTCCATTTATGTACGTACGGTTTGGATCCAGGACTGGAGGCGTACGCACCCACGCCGTACTGTGACTGGCGGCCGTATATGAAGTACGGCATTCCGGGTGGCGCGATCTGCGAAGGAGCACCCAATGTGGCGCAATGTCCGCGGCCGTGGCAATAATGCATGGCCGTACGTCGCGCTTCGCAGTAGCAGCAGCTCGCGCTTTCCTATTACCGGCTTTTGTATATGAATCGATTTCAGTTTGTGCGTTACATAAACCTGAGGCGTTGGGGTGCGTGTGTGTGTGTTGCGTGGGGTGGGAACATTGGGATATATACCTATATATATCCCAATATATATAGCTGGGTTGAACGAAAAAATGCTAAAAGCAAGCTATCTTCGTTCGCACGAAGAGGCAGAAACCACCCGCGCATCTCGTCAGGTCGTTATCTGTTTGCGCAGTGTTAGCGCAGTGGAGGGCTATGGTGCAAGGGATAGAGGTTGAGGTCGCTGTATGCAGTGGATCGCGTTGGCGACATTTTTGAGGTGATGAAAAAGGCGTTTAGGATAAGGCAGGTTGCACACCTTACTCGATCAGGGCGCGCGCCCCGGTGAAATGAAGAGTCTGCGCAAACACATGCTGGTGTACGGCGCTAAGCTCATAGCAGCGCACGGCTGGGGACGGGAGTCCTGGCAGGCATATCGGGAGGCAACACAAGGCAGGTGTACAACAAGGCACGTAAGCACGCTGTGCCGGTTTTTTTGAGCACGAACAGTCTATCGCGTGATTTCATTAGCAGCTGTCGTGGGCATTCCAAGGAGTGAAATGCTTTCAGAGGTTACGAAGGGCCCCCGTGCCCCATCACCGATGCCGAAGTGTGGCGGGAGCACTTCCAAACATTACTCAACTATGGGCAGGCAATACGAAGTGAGCCGCCAACGCGCAGTTCATATGCTGGGGTTCATTACGGGGGCTCATCACCGGTATGAGCAGCCATGGTGGCGGATAGTTGGGCAGGAAGAAGCGGAGTGCAATAGATGGCAACAGATGTAGCGTGCAATGTGCCAACCACGATGGAGGAAATAGCGGCTGTGCTGAAGGACCTACATGCCTTACGTCTGAACGTATCCGTTCACGTTTTTAAGCCTACGCTGTTTCCTATGTCTAATATCCCCACACACACGAACTGCCATCGGGTCTCCTATTTGTACCACTTCCCTTCAGGCGCTGTAAGGCCCGATGCCGCGTCTGGGTCGTGCCTGTTCGGGTCAAAATCATCGCACCGATGTCCTTTTCATCAACCTCAGCTCTGCCATGTCCAGCTGAACCGAATCTGGGTTCTTGTAGATCCGGGCCATTCATTCATTTCCTTGGCCTGTTCAGCCTCCTCCTGCCTCCTCCTGATCGCGCTTGAGCTCGCGTCAAAGTCCGCTTGGCCGCTTCTCATCCGTCAAGAACCCGAACATTAGGCCTGACTATAGTCAGGCCTAATATAGTCAGGCCTAAAAAAGCGGTAGGTACCGCCGTCTGGGTGCGCTGCTGGACTCACTCCCTGGAGTGCCTGTCGTCGCGCGCACCGCTATCGCCAATCTCCCGTGTACGGGAGGACATTGTACGGAACCTGGGCATGTGCCCGGGGCTGGGGTGAGTGAGGGGGACGGCTCGGGGACGGAATGTGCATACAAGGATTTTGTGTGCGTGCGGCCATGCATGCATGTGTACGTGGGATCTGCGGAAGCGCCCTTGCGGGTAAGCGAATGGAAGGACATAATAATACGCGCACTTATCGCGTTAAGGACATTGCAACGTTAAAGGGCACCAGGAATGGTAAGTTGGAAGGAAAGGAAAGCGCTTCTCTTCCTCCGCTGCTGTCTCCACAGCTACCGCTCCGTATGTTTTCGTCCAATTGCCCTGGCCATTCTCCTTGGCCCGTTCACCACCACAAACTCCCGGTCCGGGGCCCTATGTACGGAAGTGTACAGAAGCACTAGCCCAAAACTCTGGCGGCAAACCCTCTCCCCGCCTGGCACCACGCCTCGCGACTCCCCTTCTCCCAGTTGTTTCAACCGACAACCGACAACCGGCCAACACTTGGACGTTGCCGATCAGGCGTTTTGTGAAGTCCTTTTTTGTGCACCAAATTGCACTTCGCTGTGCGACAGAAGGCCTCCGTGGCAGCGGCAGCTTCGGGGCTGAAGGCGGAAGCAGCGAGAAACAGAGACCACGTGGAAAAGGGAGGCCGGTTGTGAGGCCGGGGGGTGGCGAAGGAAGGATATTTTAGTTTCGGTTACAGTTACAGTGTCCGCACAAGTGCGGAGGGGTTCGTCAAAGCCGGGGGGGCCCCATGGACCGTTAGTGATAAGGTTATGTTACGGTGTCGGGGGCAATTATCGCCGTCCCCCCGTTCCCGTTTGAGCGTTACGCGCCAGAGCCCTGCGTGCCTGGTCTCCCAGACCTCGAAGAGAAAGATAGCTAATGCCAGCGGGGTAGCCAGCGGGGTCATAACGGTGCACATATTGAAACCCGAGTTCGCTCCCATACTTAGCCCTCAAGCCATCATAAGCAGGGCATTCTCAAGATGCATGCAATTCATCTTCCACCATGCCGCCAGTGTTTTTGCTTTCATTTTTGCCCGTAGATTTTCCAGTCTGAACGGAGGAATAGGTTTTTAGTCGCGGGAATAAATGTATTCCTAATCTGTACGGCGCTGGGCATGATGCCGCAGTCACAAAGCCTGCAGGTACGTGCGGCACGCTCACGGCCAGTGGGTCTCTTAACCGCATTCCACTGGCTTGTCCCGTTGACTTCTGCTTCTGCATGTTCTCCTCGCTTCATTTTTTCTATCGTGTTCTGGACTCAAGCATTTTCCTAATGTTATTAATCTCATTCCGATTGAGCATTACCGCACCTGTAACAGGCAGTGTTTTTCTTTTCGTGGAGGCCGATCCTGAATCTGTTACGAGTTCCGTAATAAATATGTCATCAGTCCAATACGTTTATTACTGCCAGAATTTTTTTTCGGGGGGGGGAAAGCCCCCCAAGACCCCCCCTGCCCACACAGGGTACCTGATACACCAGCACATATTTAATGCGGGAGGCGCCCTGTCATCTGGTTCTAATGTCTCTCTTGTACTCGCTATATTGTTTGAAGTGTTACCAGCATCGCCGCTACTGGGTTTTGGCCTGCCGGTGGTCAGGAATGCTTTGACGCTACCCTGACCAGCTATAGTAGTTAACTTCTTGGGCCCCATCGCTCATTTTATAACTTATTTATACTAAAATAGAACGTCTCTGGGGGCCTTCGGCCCGCCCCGGCTCCGTAACGACCGTACCAGGCCTTTACCATGGTCTATGACGGAGCGCAGAACGCAAGTATGCCATTTTATTACGGAACCGTAATATATTACGGAAAAAAATACACGTTACTAACAGGTGATTACTAGCTACGTCTTGGTCATTCCATTACTCGTGCCTACGTATAATATTTCATGCAAGGGATACACGCCAGCTGACTGAAGGCCGTTTTTTAAAAACTTATATAGCCGGGGCTTACGTGAGCTTGTCAAACGCCTGTAATCCTGGCATGTAGCATCAACCACTCCTTGAAGAAACTAATCATAACCAGCTCAGACCTCAGAAGCCCGTGTAAGCGTACAACTTCATTCAGCAGTGCTTGATCGGCGGCTCGATACTTGTCTCGAAAGAGAGTGCGGTCAGATCCATGTTGGGACACCAAATTCTCTGAGTGGAGCGGCTTGAGCCGAGCAGCACACAACAGTAGTGTACCAAGTTGGATGTGATAATGAAGTCATCGACAAAGGCTTAAATGCTAAACAGCCTACAAGATTATCTCTATCATCGTACAACAGATAACGGACAAACGCTCAAATATAAGGCTCTTCTTAACAAACTCAAGACCTTTACAATCGACATCTGGATCAATCACTGGCAAGGTCTTCCGGATCTGGATAGATTATATACTCTTCTGGTTCTTAACCATATCACAGACAGCAGGACATTTGCCAAGCAGCAGATAGAAGCACAAATGGATTAACTGGACGTGCATGCAGCTAGGCATCCAGACAGATGTGACAAGCGCACTTGTGCATGAATCGCCATTGAAACACAATACATATCTAAGCTGATTGCAGCAGTAGCCCGTGCAAACAACCAAGCTTCATTCCACGTGCACGGTTGTCGTCCCTGCACAGGTTATGTCAACAGGAATGCGAATAGACGTGCAAGGTTAACAGATCCACCCTGCAAATATGCTCGCAGCTAGCCGCTTTAGCGGAGCCGTCCATGCCGACGTTCACCTGCCCTACCGACGCGGGCTGAGAACAGCCAGCCCACGCACTAGGCTACAGCCTGCTTATCGCGCATGTAACAATCCCCTGCGGGCCTTCGTTCTTCAAAGTTGCATTAGCCAGTAAAAATGGCCTTCGTTAAAGTAGTTCGTTGGTTAGTTTAGCAATCTTCACATGAGAGCGAGCCATTGCTTTTGCTACAGCCGCAAATCAGCTCGTCGATCCATCGAGACAATCTTGCATAGCCGTAGCATGCTGGGCCAGTGGAAACCCCTGGCGCTGCCGCAAATCAACATCAGTGCATGATTTGATCTTGGGTATGCTTGTTGGACACATACATCAAGGCAGCATGCGCATGCACAAGGATCCTCCTCAACTTCTACTCCGACCCCAAAACATATGCAATCTGCATGCATGGTCCCTAGAATGTATGCCCACCTCAGAGTGCGTTGAGAAAAAGATTTAAAGCACAGAAAAGAGAACTTCCAAATTCACATATGCTTATCCTGTAGATAGAGCAAGCATGCAGTAGAAAATAGCGGATGGTTTGGCATATGGATGGGCGTGCTGCTGGCCGCTCCAACCCCAATCAACCCCAATGCCACGGTAGGCATGCAACATGTATGCAGCGTGCAAACCATCCACACTCGCTCACCTCGCCAGCCCTCTACCTCTACCTATGGAAATATCTTCCACACAGATGATGACCGGACTAAGGATGCACAGATTTCAGGAAATAAAGCTGTGCGTCCCCTGACGGCTATATATACGTTACACCAACCCAAACATCTGTAAAATTCAACAAAACCATACGAGCATATGCATACGCACACATATATACAACAGATTAAGGCCTGACTTCTGCACCTGGCCGACCCGGGTTCAAATCCGCCTGCCGGCTCCTCGGGTATTTGAGGAGTGTGATGAAATGGGAGGTGGCCCCCCATCATCATCAAGGACGTAATAATATCAACTTGCGAGCTGACCAGGAACTAAGTTGATGCGCCGTTGATCCGCTAGATTTGGTTGGATGCTGGTGGTGAGTTGCCGAACCCAACGAATACATTCTGAAGTCGAATGGGTTGACGGATTAGGGTGCCCCTCTAGCAGGGGAGAGCAGGGACTGCCCCGGGAAAGGGGGCCGCTGGCGAAGTTAACCACCCTGTAACAACATACATACATACCTGTTCATCCCAGCCCTGTTTGTGAGCTGGCAAAGCGAGGCAGATGCCATGGTTGCGCCCGCCGACATATGTACACCCCCTCCTCCCATGGACCATCATGATGTCAAGGACTGCTTTCCTCGGGAACTCGTGTTAATGCCGTGCGGGCTAACCGCGGCGCCCCTGGGAGCCTGTGCGGCAAGAGCCCCTGGAAAATTGCTGCTGTTCACCGCCGCCACCGTCGACGGCACGCCAGGCCATTCCAGCTGTCGTGCTTCCTTCTCCCCGCCCTCGCCATCCTCCTCCGCCTCGTCATCATCATCGCCATGAGCACTGGAATCGGCTGCTTCCTTGCTGCAGGAAACTCCGCTGCGCGAAAGGCAGAGCCACATATTGCCCCACCATTCTAAGATCTTCTTGTCATATGCCAGGACCGTGCAGGCCACGATCCGCAGGCCCAGGCCCAGGCAGAACAGAATGCTTAGAGCGCTGCGCCAGTCGTCGTGGCAGTAGTGACGCACGAAGGAGCTAGGGCTTTGCTTATTAATGAGTGCCATTAACGCGGTATCCAAAGTGCTACTGCCATTCTCATCCTTTAGAGCCATATCCACGCGGCAAAAGCCCTTCTGAGCATACATGGCCAAAATCACGTTGCCGTGGGAATCCAGGTACTTATCAAGTTCCAGAATGGATAGCGCTTCGACAGCCCAACGGCTGAACGAAAAGCCCAGCACAATTTCCGTGACTGTGTTTCCTCGGGACTGAGCCAGAGTTGGCGCGCTCACGCCGTTGAGCAGCGCACCCGCTATGAGGGTCAGCAGCACGGCGGCGGTGGGTGCAGCTGTCTTCGGTAAGAATGGTGTAGCGGTCACCAAATACGACAGGCCCGACGCCCACCACCATACAGCAACACTCAGCGCGTAGTAGCACAAATACGAGGCTCGGGGTACGGTTAACACGTAGTACGGTAATGAGAAATAAATGGGTGCGACGACAATCCAGGGCACATCTACCAGGCAGCGCGCAGTAAAGTAGGCCGTAATGGAGAGCCCTGCGCTGCGCTCCCGGTGGACGACAAGACGATTGCTGGAAAATGTACGAAGATGCTGTACAACTGCAAGTACAGCAAGGCACAGCAGGGACATCACCAGGTTGCCGGGCACATCGGTCGCGCCCCAGTAGCGGCCCTGATTTGCCCCGACGGCTGCGGCTGCTGTCAGCAGAAGCGCTACCTCAAACATGCTGGATGGCCAGTAAGCTCGAGAGGACTGAGGTCGGAAGGGAAGGCATCCGGCCGGCAGGCAGGCAACGGAGCAGAGAAGCATGAGACAGGGCCATCAATCGTTCGGCATAGTTCGGCACTGTCACAACAATACAAATGCTGTTCCTAGACACTGCTCATGAGTTCCATAGACACGAAGGCATGCACCAATTGATGGACATCATCTTAGTCTGCCTTGTAAATCCCTTGTAGAACAGCAGCAATCAGCAAGCGCATGTACAGTCACCGGGCTGCAGACAGCACGCCGGCGCACGTACCTGTAGCATGGCCCTCCGGGAGAATGTGGCCACCTGCGACAACCGGCTGGGTAGCCCCCTGACTGCAACCTGCTGTACGATATCGATGGGGCCGCTAAGTACAACTGCACTGCTACCCGCCTTCCTCAATTGCAGCCCACTGTGATCAATGCTTGCCGGAGGATTATCGAAGGCAGCCTTGCCATCTCCGTCCTCCAGGACGGTCCTTTGGTGTTGTGCTAGGCAGAAAGGAGACGGCCGCGACACCTCTGCTGAAGGCTGCTCACAGTCCTCCTGCAGCGAGTGAACAGGCGGCGTCTCCGTGTACATCGGTGCATACATACATGCTTACGGAAGATAAACCAATCATGCGAACCCCACGTCAAAATCATGACCATCCAACTGGAATGCGTCATTTCTTTCACGCTACGGCGTGCAAGCACCAAAGTCGAGGGACCTACCTCTACCCCACCGACAAAGATAATTTAAGCATGGAGCGCCTTAGTCAGCCATTTGCCTAATGAAGAGACGGACAAGAGCCATGCGCCTGTCTTATTTCGTGCGTATGTTGTGTGTACATGTGCGCGTGTGCACTCGCGTGCGTTTCTGTCTGTGATCTACACCTTGGCGACCACCCGGGCGTTACCACCCGCCAGAGGTGTATTAACGGGGGGGACCATACACACAGGCGGCTGGCAGAGGTTAAGGCCTGACTTCTGCTCCCGGCCGACCCGGGTTCAAATCCGCCTGCCGGCTCCTCGGGTTTGAGGAATGTTGGAATGGGAGGTGGCCCCCCATCATATGGACGATGTAGGACGTCATAAAATCAACTTGCGAGCTAACCAGGAACTAAGCTGATGCGCCGTTGATCCGCTAGATTTGGTTGGATGCTGGTGGTGAGTTGCCGAACCCAACGAATACATTCTAAAGTCGGATGGGGTGACGGATTAGGGTGCCCCTCTAGCAGGGGAGAGCAGGGACTGCCCCGGGAAAGGGGGCCGCTGGCGAAGTTAACCACCCTGTAACAATATACGTACACCTGGAGCCCCGATGAGGGCCACAACGGACCGTGCACTGCATTGGGAAACCTAGTCTTAGGGATCGCCTGTTTTCTGCACGGGCTTCTGTCACCGGTGGATACCTTTACCGTCCAAATTCGTAGATAATAGGATGCTGCGCATAACATTTTTATAGCTGAGCCATGTCCATAACTAGCAACGTGTGTGTGCGCCTATTATAGATCCAAACGTATGATGATAAGATACGTCCACTTGCCTGCAACCGGGGGTGCATGCATATGCCTAACGCAAACATATGAAGGATGCGATGGTAGCGGCTGACCAGCTGAAGTTGGCGAACCTTATTCACAGTATCTAGCTAGTGAGGGTCAGAAACAGCGCTGCTAGCAGGCGCACTGCTACGCTATACCAGTCTGAGTAGTTCAAATAATTCGACATGGTTTTCTTTTTCTCGTGTGGAGTTATAGGATAATATTATTTCTTATGGGGTTTTTATATTTTTATCTATTTCGGACATACAGCCATCGGGCCCGGTCTGGGGCTCGCTGTAATATCTACTACTACTACTACAACAACTACTGTTACTACAACTACTGCTACTACTACTTCCTCTAAGACGCGACTTCACCAGCAGCTAGAAGCACACCTACCGGCAGCTCCAGCTGCGGCGGTGACCTGATGGGTTGCCTGGCGTTCGTAGTAAACTCCGCGGCTTGGGGTTCGGGAGATCCCGGCTGCACGCGGCAACATCGCAGGCCGTTGTCGCACGAGGACGTTCGTCGAATCAGTCGTACGAAAAAACTTATACACCGCAGTAAGTACGCCGTGCACCAGAAGTAACGGGCGGGTAGAAATGAAAGGGATAGAGACGATCGTCGTGATCGGTAATGCTGCTCATATGTAAGAATTGTAAGGCGGCTAAGCAGCGGGAACCTGCTGCCTGCCTGCCTGCCTGCCGTGGTGCCGCTCTTAACTGTAAGAGGATCCATGCATGCATGGCGCGACCCACCCACCTCTTGCGAACGTGCCGAATGGAGCCCATTGCCTTCAGGGGCCCGCTGGATGGTAGCAAGCTGCAGCGAAAGGTTAAGCTGCTGCGGGCAAGTGGGAGGGACCCCGGCGGTAGCTCCATTGCTGCTAAAGTTCGTCTGATGGACAGCTGCTGCGCCGCTTTCGCATGTGGCTTCTGCCGGCATCACTTGCGCGACGTTGGCGGGGGCTGGCTTTTTGCAAAAAAGGCCCTGCAACAGAGCACCGGTTTATTAGCGTTCAGTCAGATCGCCGTAGCACGAAGTCTGTCAGTCTGACAGTCTTGGATTTATGATTACGGTAGCTGCGTGGATAAACACAACGGCCGCGCTGGGCTGGACTGGGTACCTATCTCGCGCGTACCTGCAGGCTTTGTGACTGCGGAGTGGTTGAGGATAAGCTGCATACCGTTTGTGAATGCCCACCGGCCTATGAGGACCTTTGGGTTAAATACGAGGGGGATATTGGCTTCCGAGGGCGGGAAATGCGTACTACTATGGCGGAAGGTCGCTCAGTAGCTGCGGCTAGTTTTCTCTGGGAGACCAGACGCGTCGCGCATCGCCAAGCGCATCGAACTCATAACTTATAACTTGTACAGCTGCAGGCGACGCACTTAGTAATTAAAGCAGTTCATACCAGGACGCACGGTGATAGAATGATGGCAATGCTCCCCAAGCGATATGGATTTGTTGTATTCTGGGCATATCACGGGATCAGCATCCGCCGATCGGTACTTTTGGGGCGAGGCCCCGGGCGCGAAGCGCCATTCGGGGGGCCGAGCCCCCCGGGTTCACTGCTGTCAGTCAGTCAGTCAGTCAGTCAGTGGCTTACATATCTCGCCCCGCAAAAAGTAGCGTTTGAATGCTATATCCATTCTATATCGAAATGCCAAAGGAGAAATTCCAGATAAATCGGAGCGCGAAGATAGCTTTCCAGTAAGTGGCTGCACCAGGGCCGAGCCCCTTTTCGGCTTTGAAAAGCCGCCCCCTAGTCTGAAGTCGTGAAATAACAGGATTGAAGAACATGTTTTCGTGACGTTTTTTGCGTCTGATATTGCATGTACTTATGCGCGGCATGCATGCGTGTGTGCATTAGTGGGTAGCTGGGCCGGTGTATGGGTACATGGATACCACCATGCGGTTGCAGCCATACCATTACGTGGTTGGCTGGGCAGCCATGGCCATGCGAGTAATGCAAATGCACAGCAAAGCAAAGCAAGGGGTACATATTTGCATTGGCTTATGCTGCGCAAAAGCAAATTATTTCGTGCGCAAAGTGAGAACCCTGCCGCGATAGTGCACCAACCAAAACAAACGAGCATAAGATAAACTATGTGTACACACATATAAGCGGAAAACATATTTTACTTGCAATAAATTCTATAATTGTTTAGTTACTTTAATTGTTTAGTTAATAAATTCTTTAATTGTTTAGTTACTGCAACGTTCACCGTGCGCGCGCGAAAGCCTAGCACGGAATTTCTTCGACCGCCTGTTGGATACCTACCTTCGCTGCGTGAGCTAGATGCGACTCTCGAACAGCGTTAGAACGCAGCAGCAGCCGCGAAAACAGGCCGCTTAGCCCTCTCTACAAAAACGCAATCGGAAGCATATACATATATGAATGGCATGCAGTTGACACATTCAGTCAAAGAAATAGCCACGCATACGGCATGTAAGCAAGGCAACTGTAGCGGTTGGCAGCCTTTTGGGTAGGCAGCTAGCATTTGCTCATCATGACGTACTCCCCAATAGCTACTACAGCACTGTACGCGAGAAGCTGCAGCATTACGGCAGGCAGGCGGCGCTCTGCATTCCTACGACAGATATGCGTCCAGCAAATAATACAGTCGCAAAAAACAGCCTTGCTAGAATACATGGCCGCCGCTGGTGAAAATACAGGTGTAATAAGCTCGCACTTGGCTGGAAATTCAAGCGTCACAATATAATTGCCAAACAGTCGTTTTCGTCACGTGCGCACATCTACGCAATTTAATTTCACATGCTTACCACAATTCACGCTTACCATGAGACCATCCCGGCGGGCGGTGTCCTTCCTGCCGAAGGATGGGTGCTTGCCACGGCTAGGTGGGGGAGAACGCAGACCTCCCACCTTCAGTTCATCATTTAGAACCTTTTGCAGCGCAGCCAACAATTCTTGGCGGCTTACTCCCGGCGGTCCTGCTGATGCAAGACAGATCAAAGCTTTGCTGCTGCTGGAGGCACCAAGCGGCGTCTGGTTCTGCGGCGTTTGCGGCGCCTGAGGCTTTGGCGCATAATCCATCGCAGAGGAACCCCGTGCACGCATACCGTCCGCCTCCTCAAGGAGGCCCTGCACAAAAGCCTCCACCTCCCGGCCTTTTTGCCCAAGTCTCTTAAAAAGCTTCAGCAAGCCTTCCCGGTTCAAACTGTCACCCCTTTTTGCCGCTCCTTCGCCCAGTATCCTGTCAAACTCGTGCGTGACGATGCTTACGAGGCCTTCCGATAGGTCTGGCGTCCCCTGGCTGTTGGCGCGGCTGGCGACCGTCCGATTACTGGTAGTGCGTGAGCCCGCTGGCGCGCCTTTTTCCGTTGGTGAGCTAACGTTCGATGCGTAGTCAGCAGCAGGCTTATCAACGACCGGAGACACTGGCGGTTCCTTGATGGGAAGTTTACCCGAAGAGACTTCTGGGCTGTAGTACTTACCTGCGCATCACATGCATGCATATGTATTAAGGCGAAGGTTGCCCTCCGGCCGGGCAACATACCCTCGTTCTCCTCTGAACTACCCGTATCTCACAGCTGGGTATGCATGTAGGACTGTGTGCAATAGGGTGCAGTGATTATATCCACTGCAAACCAGCTAACCACTACCTACCGAGCATCTACTCCCGCCCCGCCTACCCATGATAATATCCAGGATAGTGTCTGCCACGTTTTCATTTTCGGGGATGGACGTGTATCCCAGGCGTAAAAAGTAGCTCCTAGCCTCATCAGGCTTTCCATTATACACGCTGCGCCCTTGACGATCCAGCACCATTATCTGGGAGGGCGTGTCGCGACCCACACATTTGTGCATGCATGAACCGATCAAGAGCTAGAGGCAACCAGGTAAACAAGAATATGTACGCACATATGCATCGCATGCAACATATGTAACTGTCTATGGCAAGTAGGTTATCTACGAGCAAATAAAGGGTTCTGGAACGGGCTTTCATGGAAAGGAAGGGTATTTGCATGCAGGCAACAGCAGGCAGCCGAACCCCGCCTGAAACGCCTTACGTAAACAGGCTCGCTCCTACACACGCATCTCCGAATGTAGCTAACTACAACAAACCTCTCCTGGATATTCATGAAATATCGTGTACAATAGTGGACATATAAATGTATGTACGAACCGTATTGAACAATTCGTACACAGTCCGCCGCGGCTGGTGTACCACCATGATAACGTTGAAGCCGCGCTCCTCCACCAAGTCAGACAGGGACATGAGCACGTCGGAGCTGCAGGCCGCGTCCTGTGCATATATTTAGGTGCATGATGAGGAATGTGTAGTATGGTTGACATGAGTCATGTGTGCATGTGTTATCTAACGGCGCAACAGCACACCTGGTGCGGCTGCAGGGCGCCGCACCAAGGCCAGAGAGATGCGCGAGAATAAATCGCAGATAAATTGCTTAAACGCGCGAAGCGCAGATAGGTGTTCTGGTGTTACGTTTGCGAAATGGCGTTCAGTACACACACGGCCTGCTACGTTTACTAGACCGCGTCCACATGTCTATGACGAACATACGTGCACATGGCGATTGGTGACGACGAGTTACGCAAAATGCACCACCGACAGCTGCAGCTGCTCGCACAAGCAAAACCGCATTACAAATACAATACACGCAGGACATGACTACGTAACCCTTGACGTTATTGCTAAGGGCAGGATTTGTCGAAACGGCGGTGTGCTTGCTTGGTGCTGCAACAAACTGGAGCTTAACTATGGTTGTTTGTGCCTGCATCTACCGGCGGCTAAATTAATGAAGTACTGGTTCACGGATTCGCCAACCCGACCCCGGACCCGAATCCCCGTCTCCCTCCTCGCCCGCCATAACGTACCAGTCCGCTGGTTGGTTCGTCCAACAGCAACACCGGGGGCCGAGCCACAAGCTCCACACCGATATTGACACGCTGCGCAAGTGTTTACGAGTAAACATGCACGACCTTTAAAATTTTTGTACATTCACAGAAGAGAGCACGGAGGAATTAAGCAAGGTCAAAAAGGTATGAATGATGTGTGGGACAGGGGATCATATCTTCACCCTTCGGCCGCTACCCGGCAGACCCTGCCTTCGCCGGTATTTCAGGGCACCCTCATTCAGTCACCCTAGCCAACTTCTCAGTGGATCGTTTAGGTTCAGCACCCACCATCGGCATCCAACGGAATCTGCCGGATCAACGGCGGCTCAACTCCGTTCCTGGTCAGCTCGCAGGTCAACTTTATCCCAGGTAACCATCGCCCATCGACTAGGGCACTTTTACCTTTCACCATCGGAAGGATTTTTCGACCCTGACAGGTCTCGATCCCAGAACCCCCGGGGGCATCAGTGTGTGCTTTACCGGTAGTGCCTGACCTTATATAATGTATGGAGCGATCATGTATCACGTGAACGAGCAAAGTACGAACATGTTAAAGGAAGCTCATTAGACCTGCTGTTGCTCAAAATGATCAAGCAAGACAAATAGCTACATAGCTAAGAAACCGATTATTCGGGCAAATACTTCATTAAGTACTGGAGTTCTTATCATGTATCGATGTATACATACAGCATGGGCGCCCACGCACTACTACCGCACCTTGCGCTGACCTCCACTCAAGCTCTTGTCGGCAACGCTGCCAACGCGCTGGTTCCGGAGCACCGAGAGATCTAACATAAGCAGTACCTCCTCCACGAGCTTTTTCCGCTCCCGTTTAGCCAAAAACCCGCGAGAGTACTTGCTGCCGTTGCCGTTGCCTCCCATCACCTTTGCAGCGACCTCCCCGCCAGAAGCACCGCCGGCGCTGCATTGTGGCTTGATGCTTTCCGCATTGCTTATGAAGCAGGAGAGCGCGCCTGCAACGTTTTCGTTTCCGGCTGCGCCAACAGTGCTGCCATCCAAGTGTTTGCCACTATGGCTCGCAGCAAAGGATGATGGTTTGGGCAGCCGCAGCGCAGCACTGAAGTCAAATATCTCCCTGCGCATCGCAATCCGCCAACACGTGGACGACAAGCATCTCATACGGCTGCCAGTGCACTACAGGCTTCTGGCCAGTCAGCGTGCTGGTGCTAATAAGTAACAACACGTATAATTGGGGCAATTGGGGCATCATGCATTGTTCCTGTGCTCCTTCCTCAAACCCTTCCTCCATTTCCCGGGCATGGATATATACATGTTGGTGAGTATACCACCTATCCCATCCGCCACTGCTGCCGCAGCAGCGGCCATATCTTTAATTGTACATACCAGGTATGGTAAGGTAAACATTTTTAATTATCATACCAAGTATGGTAAGGTAAACTTACTGCACGGTCAGATCCGCGCTTAGGATGTCGTCTTGCGGTACGAGGCCGGTGACATGCCTTAATTCCTTCGGTTTGGTGACCAGTTTGCCGTTGACCAGGACTTCCCCGCTGCTCAGAGGCCAGCCTCTCCCCGCCAGCAGCGCTAGGAGGCTTGATTTGCCGCAGCCGGAGGGACCCAAGATGGCGGACATATTTCCCGGCTCGAAGCAGCCTGTAACGTACACATGTATGAATGTGGGGTTTATGAAGACGACTTTTAAGGCCACGCAAAGCAGAGCATGAGCTATCGGGTCAGCATGTAGTACTCTGGACAGAATGGTCGTTGCTGCGCGATCGAGCTGCAAGGCATGCGTGCTTGCGTGTGTGCGTCATTTTTAGTGCTGCTTTCCATCGTCAGGCTTTCAACGCGTCCTCTTCAATGCCTCAGCTTACGCACACTTCACGTATACATGTATGTCTGTATGAATGCGTGTGTATGTGTATGGTATGTATGCATGCACGCGCACGTAACGATACGGCAGCATATATGTGAATGATTGAAATCGGCGGGTCTCGATCCGCCTTGCCTCGCGACCCTTCCAACCAGACTACCAGTCTCCCAACCTGGCTGCGTGTGCGTGCTGGACAGCTGCCGCACATCTAACACATCTAACCACTCCAAAGCGCCATCTATATAAGCATACACAACGCGCGCGTCTAAAATCTGCAGGTAGGTAGGTAGGTGGGTAGGTAGGTAGATAGGTTGGTAAGCTGCCATGATGACAACTTACCCGTAACACACTGCAGCACAGCTGGCTTTCCCGGCCGGCCAGGTCCCACCCACCCAAGCTCCTTCATTTCCAGCCTATGAGGCTCCACGCGCCACGCTACCTGCCTCCTCCTCGTCGTCACTTGGCCGTTGTGGAATCGTGCTGCGTTGCGAGACCGTACATACCAGTTGGCATGCTAGTGCACGTGCAGACATGCGTGCGCTCAGGAAGTACAACCCACTAAAGGGCGTCATCTGGCCTATTGGACACTGCTTTCGTTACAACCTGTCAGGACACAATCGGGACAGCAGTCGGAGCAAAAATTGGGCAAGGATATTGTCGCATCGTGGACTCACCAATAAACCTCCGCAGGGTTCGCGCAGCAGCGGCTCGCTTGTCCTGGTCGGCATTGTAGTCGGCATGCGACCTAGGGGCCTTCAAAGCGTTCAGCTTCGTCGTCATGACTCCAGCCACATATACAGAGAATGCCAGGCCACAAAACACAGCCACTGCCGCCGGCCAGATGCGCGGTGCATTAGAGCCAGCAGCACACAGTGTAAGGGGCGGACAGCTCGTGGGCTGGATGCTCTCCGCGCGGCAGTAGTGGCCAGGAGGGCAAAGGATCTCCAGGGACGGGTCGGGGCAGTAGTAGCCGGGGCTGTACGCAGGAAGGTTGGACAAAAGCAGGAAGCAGAGCGGATGCATCCCGCCGCAGAGTGACTATTCACACGTGTCCCATATATACGTATGACGTCGGAACGGGGGGATGCCTTCGTTTTAAAGATGCCGTACATGTTTACCGGCAGCTATCACACAGGCACTCGGCGGATAAGGGTGCATTGCGAAGCGTTCACGACTATGACACGAAACGATACGATGGGATATCCCATATCGCACCACGGAGGCCATACAAACGTGATTCTGCGAGATTGCTCCGTCCCTCACTCGACAATGAGGGAGCAATCTTTAGATGGTACGTTTCATGTGTAAAGACTCACTGTTTCATGCAGTGTGGACGGACAACAAAAATTGGCCAATGGCGGGAGGTTCAGTGTTCATGCAGTTGTTCAGAGCCGCACAGGTACGTTACGATGGAAGGGGCAACAACAAGTGTGCGGCAGATTGACTATTTGCAATCGACAAGAGGCATGGTTACCCCATCCCAATCCTTTTATCAACCAACCTGCAGCTTTGGCTTGGTGCTGTAGAACGGTTGGGGCAGTAGTTCCCCTTCAGCGGTCGGCGATCGCTGGTAGCTTGCGTTGCTGTGTCCATGGCAAAACTCTTGTACGCTGGGACGAACACATTTCCGACCTTGCCGGCAGACGCATGCAAAGAGTGATTCAGAAAAAGGGCCGAAGCTATCATGGCTACAGCAACAGCATTTGTTGGGCAGGGCAGGCGAGTAGACGGGGGCGGACGATGCCTTTTCTCGTCGTGAACGACCCTGAACCGTTCCCAAGGGAAATGTCTTGCGGTGGCGGCGGCTCATGCATGAAGTGGATTTACACGCAACCCAAAGTCGAACACGCAGACAGAAAAGCACGTGACGGAGGCATCTTTAATTATAATCTGCTTGGTTGCGCGTGGTATCTAAAAGGCGAATTTATACCTGTAAGAAATGCACACACGCCCACGAACATGCACAAAACCAGAAAGGTTTTCCTTGCAAGCTACCGTAAGCCGGTCGTACATGCACGTCTGTCTGTCTGTCTGTCTATCCGTATGTATGTATGTATGTATGTATGTATGTATGTATGTGCGGCCGGTGGTTGTCCGCGATCGCTCACGTTTCTCTTGAATTGACAAGCTGTAGCTTAGACCATGTAGCTGATTAACTACGAGGATCCATGTCCGCAGTGAATGGTGCGATCCTGGCGATCATGGCTGTGTCCTGAGACCACGCATAAACATGCACTCCCGGAATCGTCCAATGAACCGTCCTGAACCGCCGCATCCAGCAAGATAGATACACCACCATACTTCATCATGCACGACACAATCATTCATTCCACACATACACGACACACGTTGGCGCCCCCTGAACTGCGGTTGCCCACCTGCGGTCCAAGCATCAACATGTAGTCGCACGTAATGTTGGCAGTTGAGCGTTCTGGGCAGAAGTAGCCAGCGGGGCATTCATACTTCTCAGCTGGTGTGGGGCAATAGTAGCCCTTTGGGCAGACCAAACTCGCCATGAAGTTGAAGTCATCCTGCTCCTCCACAAAGGTACCCTCTGGACAGTATGTACCCGGCTCACATGGCACACAACGAGCCTGAAGCGAGGTCAGGTGCCATAGGCATACATTCCAGAATATCGGGGTTGAGACAGAACAGCGGGCGTTGCGCTAACCGCCTGCTTATGCATGTATAACGTGGTGTATATGCATGAACGTGCAGCAGCATGTACGCGATTCATCACATGCGTTAGCGGACATCCTTTCCAATCCCAATCCCACCATAAGGCATTAGATACCTTCAGCAACGACGTGCCGCCCAGCGTGATCACGTCGCCGGGCAAGGACACCCACGAACGCGGAGAGCAGCGCTGACCCGCAGGGCACCTGTGCGTGTGTAGGGGGATACACGTACTTGAGAGGCAGCAGCAGCAGTCGTTCTAAGAGCGACAGAGGGTTAGCAGCAGGCAGTATGTATGTGAAGAAGCCACCGAATGGCTAAAGCGCAAAAATGCCGGGAATTCGAGACCTAGAGTGGGTGAGATAAGAAGGTCAAGATAGGAGCCATCAAAGGGAAAGGTCAAGGGCCCCGGGAACGGCATTACAACCTTTTGGAGCCCCGTCCATAGCTTTCTTAACAATCTATTTGACCCCGTGCATTATATGTAGATAGCACGGCACATATATCGCCTATAAATACGCGCTGCGGCCAGCTACTACATACACCTCGTAGGTCATGAAGCATGCATACTGGTAAAGCAGCAGGTCGCTGCGCTGCGGCAGATCACCCGATCTTGAAGCACAGGTAGATCTCTTCGCTTATTCTCGCTCAACGTAACTTGCCTGAAACTGGTTGAATTGGCGACAGGAGCGCAAGGGCAGCCGTCGGGTACAGTCCTCGTGGTCGGGGCGGCGGCTGTGGTCATAGCTGTAGCTGCCGACCAAGGCAGCCATGGGCACAACAGATCGCGGCCAGGCGCCACGCTGGCTAGGCGGCTCGCGAACTCCTACGCGCAACGCAACAGCGCCCGCATGGCAGACCAAATTGGGAGACCAACAGCGATCCCGATTGCCAACTCCTGACATACCAAAGAACTCCTACGTAAACACTTATAGGCGTCCTAAATCATGCTGCAAGTATCCTGCATCTTTGTCCAAGCAGTAGCACATCGAAGAATTCGAAGACCCGATTAATATCCTATCAAAAGCGAGAAAGTAAGAAACCCAAAAAAATTGTAGCGCACGTGTCAGACATCGTGCAGCGCAGAAGCAGCAAACAGGAGATGGCATGTGTGACACGGCACGTACCCGTAATGAGATAAGCCTGGCGTTTGATCCGCCTTGTGGCAAGGGATTCCACAGCCTTTCCGTGGGCTGTTGGTCTCCCTGCGTTGCGGGTGGCAGTAGTGCGTCCATGACATACTGTGGCTGTTTATCCAGCCAGACCCGAAGTGAATCCTGCGAGGCAGCGCGGCGCAGCGGAATCGGATCAAGCGGGCTGTCCTATCGGCCTACCCCTGCTAAACTCTCTTGGTTCTTCCGCCGGCGAGGATGGAAGACACGGATGGGAAGTTGGAAACTCGAAGCAACCACACGCCACCCACCACCATACGTTCAAATTAACGCAAAGCGCGTTGCTGCTCAGGTATGTACTCGGACGCGTATTAATACCACCATGTGCGAAGTGTGAGAGTGTAAGCAAGGCCCCAATCGTAATGCGATGACCACAACTTTCGAAAAACTAGCGCCCCTTCCACACACCCCAGACACCCAGCTACGCGCACACGTCCGAGTTAAGAGGGTATAACGATGGGAGGAGACGTGTAATACGCGCACATGGAGGCCTCTCCGATATGGATGACACATTTGTCCCGGTTCCTTCGCAACACAGTTCGTGGCCTCCGACCGCACCCAGCCGCGTACCTCCGACACGAAGATGGTTAGCGCGTCTGACTCTGTGGACGCCACTGTCGTCATCCCCATGCGCGCTACCGCGTGGTTTGCGATGTCAAATGCCGCGAACATGAAGTGTGCTTCCGCCCCCTGCGGCACTCCGTTGTCGTCGAGCGCCCCCGAGGAGCAGGAATCTGCGCACGAGCCCTGCAAGGCCTGGGAGTTGTTGCGGCACAGGTGGCAGGGCTGGCAGACGGGCAGCTCGCTGCGGGAGAGAAGTACGGCGCAGAACTCGCCAGGGCCGCAGTCGCCGGACATGGAGCAGGGCTGAGAAGCAGCGCAGCGGCAGCGACTGCGAGTATGAGGGTTATCAGGCACGGGCAGGCAGTAAGGGACAGGCAGAGAGTCAGTCAGGTTGGCAGGAAGCAGCCAGGGAGGCAGTTCACCAACATAGCCTGGCATAGAGGAAAGTGCTTTGCTGCAACAGGGACAGGCAGTTGATGGCCAGGTTTTCCCATGATGCGCATACAGATCATTACTTTTTTGGTCTTCAAAACCAAAACCGGTATCCTGACCCTGGTGCTTGTGCGGTGGCGGTGACTACGGCGGATGCCCTGGTAACTATGATGGCGGTGCAACGGCGGGTGGCAACAACAATAAAGTGGTATTAACATTACCCCCCTTTACCGGCGACTCTTCTAAATTGACTTTCCACATCCGATGTGGCTTAAATCCCCTCGGATAGCGCTGTATGCGCTGTGAACTGTGCTTGGTGTGAACACACATTATTTACTTAGCATACGTTGTCACCTCACACACCTGTCACATGCTGTGGTGCCGTACACCTTGGGAAACAAGCAGCACTGCCAGCAGCTGGTACAGGTGCCGGGAAGCGATGCCAGAGAGGTACGGCTGCAGAACCTGGGTGCGGAACATGTGCATGCTTTTGTACGTTTCGCAGAATTAGGCATGAATGAAAAGGGAACACAGACTGCACCCGGGCCATCGCGTCGTGCAGGATATGAAGAATGAACGAAGAAGCATCGTTCGATGGTATCCTTCGTCAAGTGTGCTGCACGGCAGTCCAGGTTAAGGATACATTTCTGGGTGCGCGCACATGCGTCGGACGGTATCTGACCACAAGGCGATAGGTTTGGACCGGGCTTGTGCAGCTGCAGCGCGTACACAGCCGACAACGGCGATATGCGCGTCGGTTGATTGCCTTTGAGGCACCCATAAAAACCTAATTTGCGGGCTGCAGGTTGGCACCCATGCACCCCCGGGTTGGCACCCCCGGCATCCATGCAATTCGAGGCACTCGTTTTCGTATCTGCCCGAAATGACTCAGCGAGGCGATTGTAACCAGAAAGTGCTGACTGAGGATAACTATTAGCAAGGTAAGCTCCCATCTCCCCCAAGAAAGGGACTCTTTATTCGCTTACGCGCACTCTATCTCGCAACCTACTTTCCATAGGGGCAGCGCTGATGAGATACGCATGAGATATTTAGTACCAGAGCGCGGCTTTCCTGTGGCCAGTAAAGGGAAAGCAGGAATGACCTTGGTCAGTCGTCAATTATCGCCGTTTCGACTATACTGTTGGACACAACCCGAAATCCATTCACAACTGTCATAACCTTTGTCTAACATACAGAAGAAAAGCCAGCTATTTGTAAACGCAGTCCGTGGGGAAAAGTAGGGAGGAGGAAGATTGCCAACAGCATGGAAAACGAGGACAAATTGCTTCTAATGTAACAAGCTTCCCCTTGGGGGAAAGGTCATACTTGAACGCAAACGCTTCGTGTTTCTTACCGAACGAACGGGCATGAGGGTAAGGAGGAAGAGGCAAATTGTCCACACGCCGACTTGCAGTCGAAGGCTTTCCGCCCGTGTCGCCTCCTGTTTTTGATCAATCATACTGAATGGATGTATACATAGTATTGCTGCGGTTTCGGGGTCGTGTGCCCACTAGTCACCATGAACACCTTTCCCTGTTGCCACTATCTTTTAATGCCAATGTAAGTATGTAACTGCGATATAGCTTTAATTACAAGTATAATTGTCACAAAAACACAACCGGGAGATATCGGTAACATGATTTGGAGCGGTGTGATACAGAGGAGAGATCCCGCAGCTGATCCTTAACAAATATGGTCATCAGGGGCGTTATTTCGGGTAAGCTTGGTACGGTTGAAACGTGTTGCAAAGGGAAGCATGTAGGTGGTATAAATGCGGAATTCAAATCCAATCCAATACAAATTTAGCCTAAACAAGCAACGATAGTCGCGCTACAGGGTAAATTCTTGAGGGTAAAATCTATACTGAAGTAAAAGATCACGTAACCAAGTATCAATGCAAAATGATGCACTTTTAGCATTTCCTATTTCAGTCGATTGTGGGAGCTACACGGCAGCTGCGGCCGGCCGGCCGCAGCCTACAGCCTACGTTTTATAACACGGCATCTCCGCGGTTGTAGGTTGACAAAAGGAAGGACCGCACA